ATAAATACGTAACGTTTTGTTTTTCTGTCATTAATCCGATTATAGACACATAGATACTAATCGTCCTAGAAGATTAATTCTGGTTGGTCGGAATAAAACCGACAAAACGAGATTAAAATATAGCCAAAGATGGCACCAACGTAAATCAACTTAAAAAGAGCGATTTATGTTTGGCCAACGCATGTTTACAGTCGACGAAAAGAATCATTGATTACCACAAAGCACAAGAATACAGTACAGATCATCGAAGTATTTCGCCCCGGATGCCGAAGTTATTTTGAAAATTCAAAATGGCGGCTGTAGGTGAAAACAAGAGGCCAGGACACGCAGAAAATAAATACACTGGTTTGCTGCGTAGGTGTAAATAAGCAAAGTAGGTAAATTAAGAAATCTATTCGCATTGGACAGTAAAATATATACTTGATCACCGACTTATGTCTAACATCTGATTCTTATGAAACAGGGTTTACAAAGTATGACCAAAATAAAGAGTGAACAGCAACTAAATTATTATTATTACAACATGTAGATTATATCAATCCAGCCGAAAAAAGAAAAGAAAAACAAAAGGTTTCTTTGAGTGAAGTTCGTTCCCAACCCCTATGCACCGTTGTGGGTATCATTAGGGAGAATGCATGGAAGCTAGATTTCACGGTGCGATGTCAGTTTTTCTAAGCGGGACGAATGATTCATTAAATGACGATATACCTGTTGTCGCATCCCAAATGCTTTCTGGCTCCCGACCACCGCTTTGGTATTTCCATGTCGCTTCGCATTGTGTTTTCGACAATTACACGATGATAAAATAGATCCAAGTAACCGCATTCACAAAAGTATCCAAAATGTCGCAAATATACTTATCCACTAAGCAGAATAATGGAAAAGAGTTTCCACAAGCTTTGCGACAAAAGTGAAGGCAAAGAATCCTAATTCGCGAATGAATCCTGCGTTACCAGCATTCGATATTTAAATCCACTTTTCCTAATCTTGTCATCTTTATATTTCCGTTCGAACGACTTTGTCGTTGATCCTAAAAGCTTAAGTTGCAAATTCGGAAAGACGCGTATGACACATCGACGTAGCTGATTTCCCATAGCGGACACTGACATCATGAAAATGAACAGACAACCAAGCAGTGATCTTCCTCTGCCAGCAAAGCATTTGCGAAAGACATAGCTCCAAAATCGGATCAAGGAATCGCGATGACCGCAGAAAACGTTTGGGGATAAAGATTAAAACTTTTATTTATATCCTTTCCCTTTTTGGTCGTGAAAGGAAATAAGATTTTGTCTGTGTATTTATTTTTTTATGCGAAAAGATTTAGATTTCATGCGATCTGTGATCTGTTCCTTGGGCTCCTATTTCGTTCTTAATTTTTAATCTCGTGATTAACCGGTATTAGAAGATTCGCTATACCGGTATCAGTGGTCCCCAATTTCCGTTAGCCCCCGTAAAATCCCCAGACAAAATAGAATTTAGCGATCCTAACCGATTTAGGAATGCAAACCCAGCATTGACAAACAACGGGTGCCCGACCAAAACGACCCAATTTACCCCAATCCCATCAGAATCCCTAAAAATGTTGTAGGGGATCACCAAACGCGCGGATTAGAAAAGATCGAGGGTTGCAGAGCAATAGTACGGCGATTTGTACATTTGTTCGTCGTGACATCCGTAAGGTGATAAGAAGATGAAAGCCGGCGATAGTCTGGTTCAGACCGGATTATCCCTCGGATCACAACCTTGTCCATAGAGATAGGGATCGTCCGTGGCGGTAGGTAGGTAGGTAGGTAGTAAACTTACAGTCCCAACATAGTAGGTGACTTCCAGAGTAAGACTTAATGTAATAACAAGTACCACCAAGCCATGAAATGCCTCTATGGAGCCCCACCAATATAAATTGTCGTAAGATGCCATTGAAATAATCCCATTTGTCAAGAGTATACGACGAAATTTTTGATATTTAATATAAAATCACAAATCCCACCACAATCATAGGATTAAGTCGATGACTCAAAATTAAATTGAACTTAAATATTAATGAAAATGAAGAGAAAAAACAGGGCGAGAGATTTTACAATGTGAAAGTTTATAATTCGACAGAAATTGGGCTAAAAATATTCAAGTTGAGCAGACAATAAAATACATACACGTTTACTATATAACGAAGAAATATTTGTTATGTCATTTCTTTTAAGGATTAGCTCAAGCACAAAATAAACAACAAATAATAGTTGTGCAGGTGTGATGCCGCCACAACAAAAGCAGATCATATTGGAATGAATAATCACAAACAAGGATGGAGAAAAAACTTCTTAAACGGAATCCTATTAATAATAATATGTCATCAACATATTGTTTTAAATGCATTTGAATATGGGAATCTATGTTGGCAGGTCAAACTCATATGGAAGTCAACTCTTTCTGAAACACGACAAAGAATGCAAACCCTATATGTGATGGAAAGTGAGACTGCGAGAGACAGATGGCTGGCAGAGAGGCGCATGAAAATTGAATAAACTTCTTGCCGCGTATGGACGGCATGGATCCGACAGTTCGATATAGATTTTATAATCCCATTATACGGGTTCCAAATAACGGAATATCGTAGAAATGGGATATTCCTGTTTGTAAGGCAGTCTCAAAAAAACTGAGGCCGTAACTTTTTTCTAAGTAAAAACGGTTCGCGATGCCATGCTACTTTCAAAGCGCTGGCCTGTCCAAAGCTAAATTATGTGTTTTATTTGGAGATTTGGTATACGAGACAAGTATTCCAACTTTGCATAATTTAATATTAAGTAGTACGAAAATCTAAACGTATAACTGTAAACAAGGACAATGGCACAGTACATATATGGTAAAAGCACAGAGCGCAGCAGTGCGTATAATGATTGTCTGTCTTTGGCGTTATTCTATCTGGAATGATGTAAAAAGTCTTTATTTAAATCCAAATATAAAAAACATACCGAGGTAAAGAGATGTACATATACGCAAGGAAGAAACAAATTCTATAGGATTCGACATTGTCAACACATGTCCTGGATAAGGTAAAGGCTATTCTTATCTGGAAAGCTGTAAAAAGGGCTTTGCTTAAATCCAAATAAAGAAACAATAACGAGTCAAATGGATGTATTGTAGATGGACGCAAGCAAAGATCAAATTCTGTAGGATTTGACATTGTCAACCTTTTTCCTGGTCAAGGTAGTAGTCACGTCTGACCAAAATTGGAGCAAATCACATTCAAAAGACTGATAAAGGCAACATCTTATACAGATGATACCAAAATATTTCATTTTGCTGTGAATCGATACGTATATATTTTACTGTCAAATGTGAATAGATTCCTTAATTTACCTACTTTGCTAATTTACACTTACGTTGCAAACCAGTGTATTTATCGATTTGCTGTGAATCGCACATCGTTTCACGTTCAGAGTTGGTTCACCAATGTACTGATTATATTATTATTAAATAATGTTTATATTTGTTTGCTAATTTGCTACAGTAGTGTTGACGCGAATTGGAATCAATTGGATCATTACTTTATAACCAAAATAGTGCTAAAAAATGCATATTATCGCACGTATATACGTGGATTCGTTGTTCGGTTGGAGAACGTCTTAACATGGCGTGGCAGAACAATTAAAGGTCATAGAAAACGGCACTTCCGGAACTTTTCATTTCCGATAGTCCACTGTAATAGGATCCGGATAGGGAACGGTGCCAATTAGTGTCAGATATAGGTCGCGCTCATCGACCCCGTTATATATTCATGGAGGTGAATGAAAAAGCGTGTGGATAGCAATTCCGCGTGCATAAGGTCGAGCGATTCATAACTTTGGTTCAAGTTTTGCTACAAAATGGGGATTGCATGGTTCGTAATATACAGAAATCCTATTATGTTTTATTTCGTCTCTTATGAAGGCGGTTTTTCGAACAAAGTAGGAGAAAAATAAAAACAAGACGCCAATAAAATATATTTTTGATCTTTAAGATCCGAATGCGCCACAGCATTGTGTGATAAACCATTGAATAATACCATAATAATCTTCCTACGACAAAAAGCGATTATAGATGAGTGATGCTCGCATTTTAAAGAGGTGCATTATTACATTTGGTTACATTGGTTTCGTCTTCAATTAAGAATTATCCATATTTTGTCTCATTTTTTTCAATGAGAAAAATCGTCATAAATGTCTGTGTCATAAAACGAAATACGGGTGCTCCCGAAGTATTCGTACCAAGATGGCGCACAACCTGAACATAGCATGTGTTAATGTGTACGAGGTTAGGGTTGTTCAGGTTGTGTGTCATCTTGGTACGAGAACTTCCGGAGCGCCGAAATACGCAGGTGATGATGACTCCTATTGGATAGTAGTATTGTTGTATTTCCAGTCGTTTCGGTCCCGGATGATCGTTCATTTTCAGACCTATGCTATGATATTGTTTTCTATCGATTACCTCACTTTATTTTCCCTTTACTTCGTTTGATGTTTATTTAACCTGAACCGCCATACTCTTGTAAATAAAATTGCTGCATCACATCGTTGGTGGTAATATACTTGCATGTACTTGGGGTAACTCGTTTTTACCACTCTTCTTTATTTTTTTAGTTTCGGGCCGATGGCATTTATAATCATCATAAAACATGAGTAAAACAAAGACAACTAAAAGTAACGCAAACAATCCAAAGAAAGAAAAAAAGCCAAGACATGTGAAAATAAAACTGAAAGCATGGTCGTAAGCGCGGGATATGTCACGTAAAAAGAAGTTGTAGTAACCGTATGCTTCTCATTTACTCTCAAATCGTTGCATCTCGATTACTATCCAGATCAATACTCGAGAATGCATCAGTGAATATAGCATGTATCGCTGCAACTGCGCATCTTCTGAGCGGCCATAACATAACTGACATATTATGAGAAAGTGTTCAAATATCATAAGAGTATTTAAGGTCATCTAAAATATGAAAGAGAAATAGTAGTGACTGTAAAACTCACGGGACGCAGTCTTCAGTTCCTGTAATTCTTCCTGAACTTCAGCCATTCTCTCTCCCACTACTCTCATTTCTTCTTCTAAAGTCATTCTCTCTCGATCAATCTTAAAAATAGAATCAGAAAAAATCAAACTGCCGTGTACAAACGTAGGAACGTGTGATAGGAAACTACGGTGATCAAAAACAGAGCACGCTATGAATGAAGTTGCTGATAATTGTCATTAACATATCGTTAAAATGAAATGAACAATAAATTTGACATCAACAACTAAACATAAAACACTAATACACTGATATTACAGCCTTGTTCAACATACTTCACTTGTATTGTTGGTGGCCGCAACACTTTTTCTAATAGAAGAAGCTGATGATTTTCTCCTCATTAATTTGATTGATGAAGGCCTCGAACGATGAGGTGATGATTCGCTATCAAGCTGACCTAAAACATTCCGACATATCGTAAGGCCTCGACACTATCAAGTGCAATAATAATAATAAATTATAACGCGACATGTTAACATGGTATATTTCTGTATTTTGAACAAGATAAATTATTAAAATATGGAACACAGAATCAATTCCTAACATGGTTAACAAGGCATTAAAATTTATCAAAATTCTCATTTATATTGCTTATATTGCCAAAGCGACCAAAAATAGCAATACCCTGTTTGATTATATACATCAAGATTTATGTATATATATATCAGGTAATAATGAAATTGACACGAACCTTTCGTTGAAGCTATAATAGGACTAAAGCTCTCCAACTGTGTCATTTTAACAGGTTTAGCGACGTTGATCCGAATCGGAGATGCTGATTGCACAGACGAAGTTCCGTTTAACTTAGGATCGTGCCTGGGATTTCGATATTTTACGGCAGGCTGTTCAGGCATTGGAGTAGATGTTGTCGGTCCTTGCCTGTTGTCAATGTCTTTCATGTCGTTACGAGGAGGTGTAGAAACAGATTGCGTCTTGTCCTCAACTTTAGTTTCTATGGTTAAATTGAGAAACAATATGATTAAAACAAACTGTTTCAAACACAAATCAGTAATGTATTTTTCGCAAAAATGCAAAAAAAGACTTATTCCATCTCAACTGAATGTTTTAACTTCTTTTCAACCAGTACAATGGCAGAATGAGAAAAATGACAAAAATTCTAACGTGACACTGCACGAGTTTTCCAAATAATTTTCAGAGCATTAACCTCTTCAAAAAATAGTTTTATACTTGTAATTGTCAAAATACCAACTTTTCCCTGTCAAAAATCATCATTTTTGTATCACGATCATGTTTCTAAAATTTGACATATTATACAATTTTTCCACAAAATTCACTTTTACGAATTATTTGCAATCAGTTACTATGCAGAAATGTGAGATAACAAACTGTTGAAATAACCCATAGATAGTACCGGTAAATCAAAATAGAATTCAAGGATAAACACTAGCATAATACCTGGTGTTGACGGAGTAGTAATAATCTCAGATTTTTCGTCCAAAACAGGAAAACTGTTTTCCACAACAGATCTTACACCAGGAGACTCTTTATTACCAGGATTAACATTTTCCGTTGAAGACTGACTTTCAAGTTCACCATTTTTAACTTCTACAACAGGAGTATTGTTCACAACATCATTTAACGATATTTCAACTGTATTTGAAGCAGAAAAGTTAATGGCCTCTGTTGTAATATCTTCATGACAATCTTCTGTAGAATTAGATTTGGCATCGTGCGAATTTTCAATATTTGAAAACTCGCTATAATCACCTTTTTGTTCTATTTTTTCTATACAGTTTTCTTCAATCTGCTCTGCGGCCAGATTTTTCGTTGAATCGAACACTAAATATCTAGAGTCATGGATTTCATTATTAATACTGTTGGTGGATTTTACAGCATTGCCATTATAGTCAGATGATTTTGGCAATGTTTCATTTGGATTAAAAACAAGTGGTTCTTCAGGTTTCACATTGTTATCCTTTTCGTGTTTTACATGTTCGTCTGAAGAATTTGTGAAGATTGGAAAATTTGAAAAACTAGGAACTTTTGCGGGAGATAAAGGGACTAAACTGACATGTGGTATTGCACTTTCTACTTTTATCTCCTCATGAAAATGTTCAGAAATCTTGGATTCATTGATTGTGCTAACTGATTGAGAGGTCGTTGAAATTTCTCTTGTATAACTGATGGTAGTTATATTCGTTATGTTTTCAACAGAAGCTGAATCTGAATTTTGTAATATTGTATGTGAAGGAGAGGTTTCGATCTCCTTTGTTAAAAACGGAACAATATTAGATGATATTTCTTTACCGTTTTGAGATTCATTAAAACTGAAAAAATTGTCTGTTTCCTCTTTGCGAGAATATGTATCAGGGCTTTTATGAGAGTCCGTAACATTCTGAACTGATGACGTGGTATCGTCAGTCACTGTAGCTTCAATATTAAAATTATGTTGATTTGAAGTGACACTTGATTCCTTTGGCGAAAAATATGCTGCATCATCATTTGTACATATGGGAACTTCTTTAAATGAAAAATCACTTTTGCATGAGCCTGAACAAAATGCGAATGTGATTGTGCTGAATTACCTACACAAATTATCTATTCTTGGTTGAAATGACTTGAGGAAATGTTACAAATGTAAGGTTATAAATTCACAAGTTATAATTAACTTAAACTTAAAGAGAGAAGTTGCAAATCAACTCTCATAACCACACTCAGTAAATTGAATTTGATTTCACTACTTGAAATAATTAGAGACAAAGTAATTTAAATTAGGATAAAAATAATGTTACCTTCATCTAAATTTTCTACACTTTGTGTGAATCTAGAAGGAGCTATATCAAGAGTAACTCTTGTTTGTTCGATCAATTTCCTTGCTCTTTCTTTTACTTGCGCTTTTCTCTTCCCATCCTGAAAGAAATTTCCATGAATTTACACAACATGTTTGATATATAACAACTATATCAGGATTCTGCAGCTTGCTTGCAGTAAATTTTTCCAATTTTAGAAAGCTTTAATGATTGGGTACATGGTGAGGGGCAGTATAGCAAGATGCTCAAACTCTAATTTAGAGATCTCATTGCAAAGCAGCAATGTCAAAACATAAACCTAATATAAACAATCAGATATAAGAAATAGGATAAACTCAAGATAAAAGAGAAAGACATAATATATCAAACAGTGTGGTTTATTCCATTTACGTCAAAAACTTTTCAAATATCTCAAATGTAAATATGACAAATTTATTTGGGAATCTTAAGGTAAAAGTTTCAAGTAAATTCTTGAGCTTCGGTCTTTGTTCTAGCCTACTTGAATAATAATATAATTGAAAGTCGAGAAGAAAAATTCACTCCCAGACAGTAGTGACTGCGAGAGTGGCGACAGAAGTACTGCATTTTACATAGTTGGGGCGATTAGCAGTCAACCGAAAACAGATACCACACAACTCATGTAACATTATTTTAACTTTTCAACCAAACAAATCAATTAGGTATCATTGATATCAAGCATGGTCATGACTGGCAAGTCTGGATGATCTATTGACCAAGTACAATTATATATAATTCAACCATTAATGAAGCATATGTTGTCTTTCACATATGACGTCACAAAGGAGGGCAAATATCTATTTTAAGTTCGCTTAAAAAACTAAGAGGTAAATGATCTGATGACCTGCCTTATACAATTGGGGGGAAAAGGACAGAGTACTCGAGAGAGAATGTTTACGTTTTTACCCTTCAACCACAAATGCAAAATCGCACAGCGATGGGTTAATTGGATCAGTGTTGATGGTGTAACTTCATCTGTCCCCTAGCTTTAGCCATAGCAATACAGTCACATATATTGTACCCTTCACTTAAATGTTTAAAAATACTAATATAGTGTATGGATATGTCAAAAAGCGTCAACATTTTTTCATATTGTAGTCCATATATACAAGTTATCATCAACCTCAAAGCAAAAACAAACTGAACAGTGAAACATGCAAACTTGTTTTTAGAAAGGAGTGTCAAAACAATGACTTCTCTATTGACATGAAAGAACAAGCGTGACATTATAATAGGGCTCCATAAACAACTTCAAAAGTTCATCTCAATTAAGTACGAAGCAGTCTATAGTGCTGTTTAACTAGTATTGGATAGGCCAATATGTTTAAAAAAATCAGTATAGACTATCCAATTACCTAACTGCATCTTGGTGGAGGTCACATAGTGTTGAAAACAAGATCTCTAATCCTGACATAACACAGTGAGTCCCAAAATACCAAGAAGCGACATTATTGGTAGAATAATATGTGACTTTAAACTCAAGTAAGACTATTATTTACATTTGTCTATCTCTCCTATGTCATTCTCACGTTACACAGACAATCGGGTTAAGGAATGCACATTAGAAACAATACTAACTTTTCAACCAAGAACAGGGTCAACATCATGGGTCAAATGTAAAGTAAACTTGGGACATGGGTCACTTGCTTCCACTACTTCGAGATGTGATGGAATGATAATTGTTTTGACTTTGTGAGAAAAATAGACAGGATTTTCAGTCGAGGTTTGAAAAAAATCATGCATGATTTATCCACTAGTGACATATAGTGGTGAGATTCTGAGAGCATGATGATTGATACAAGGGCGGATAAAAGACAATATCAGAGATTGACCAAAATTCAAGTGTGAACAATTGCACTCAGACTATCATCGATGTCTAACGTCAATAGTATTAAGAAACATTTCGATTCAAATAAAGATGTTGCTCGTCATGAAAGCGTTCGAAAACAAATATTTAATTTATTTTGAGAATGGCTTCAGTCAGAAAGTAAAATACAATCAATTCTAGCAAACTACTACAAAAACTTGGCAGCCTCATTAATCATGTATCCAGATCAGAATACTAAAAAGCACAAATAACATTTCTCACCACATCTCGACTTAAACTCATTGTTTTCCAATCCTCGTTCTTTTTATCTAGCGATTCAGCTTTGAACTGTTCAATCAAAGCAAGTGCCTTAGCTCGTTTTGGATCCATAACCTTCAGTAAAAATGAGATAAAAGCATAAAAGTATTTTGGCACACAAAGTTTACTATATTGTATATACCGTATTTATTCGATTATAACGCTCAAAATTTTGAACTGAATTTTAGGCAAAAATCAATGCTGCGCGTTATACAAGAGGTCTGAGAAATGCGGTATTGAAAATGTGGTTTTAAACATCTGAAACGTGCGTGCGCTCGCGCATGCACATTCCAGTGCAGGACGATTTCGTGCAAGCACACGCACATGCGACAGCTCAGCGTGCGTTTGACATTCGTGCAAGCGTTCGATTTCGTGCAAGCACACGCACATGCGACAGCTCAGCATGCATTTGACATTCCCGCTGCGTTGAGAATATTTATTTGCCATTATCGTACTGTACTGTAGATACCCATTATATATTACCCATTATCTATTATGGCAAGACAAAAACGTTCTGCATATAGGGCTGCATTCAAACTGGAGGTTGTTGATTATGCGGAAACTCATGGAAATAGAAAAGCTTCTAGAGAATTCAATGTACCAGAGACAAATGTCAGAGATTGGAGAAAGCAGAAAGTTGTTCTAAAAGATATGAACAAAACAAAGAAAGCGCGGTGAGGGAGACAAGCCCGGTACCCAGAGTTGGAGGAGGAGCTTTATGATTGGATAGTTGATCAAAGATCTAGTGGGTACATCGTCACTTCGCTCCATATTAGACTCCGTGCACAAAAGATTTGCAAAGATTCAACCTTTAAAGCATCTAATGGTTGGGCACAAAAGTTTTTGAGAAGGCATGGACTTGCACTACGCCAGAAAACAAAAACATTCCCGCCGATTGGGACACTGATTTAAACATAACCCAAACAGAAATCGAACAGTTGTTTGGTGAATCAGAGACTGAATCCGATTTTGAAGAGTTTTGAATTACTGTGTGCTTTTAATAAATTTTTGTTCATGCTGTGAGTTGTTACCTTATGTGCTTACCAGTAGTTAGTAGAGAAAAAATAAAAAAAAAGAATTTTATACCAATTTTCATTCAAAATTTAAAGGTGCGCGTTATACACGAGTGCGTGTTATAATTGAATAAATACGGTATATCTTCATCCTACCTCTTTATTCAAAGCTTCATTCGAACTGCACACTTCAATAATACTGGTAGTGGTTGTAATTGATTGCACCGATTTAAAAGGTGAATCCACAGGCTGAAACAACATTTCAAAATCCCATATTAACATAGTAGAATTAAGCAAATTGAAATCTTTGTTGCATTACGCATGGCCAAACAATATATAGCAGTTATTCTTAAACGGTGGGGGGCGTAGACAATTTTTTGAGGGGGCGTGAAGCTAATCAAAATTAAGAAAATTTTGATTTGATCTTTCGCGCCTTACTTTGGAAATTTACATTTCTTTATTTTTGCATATTACGTTCCATTCACGTATTTTCAACATGTTTTATAAATGATACATACTTTCACCTTACTATCTGTTATTTGTAGCTTATTGTTAGATAGTTATTTTCAAGGTGGGATGCGAGACTTGACAAATACAAAAACCTAAAATGATTGAGAACCACTGACCCATAGAAATAAATTCCAATGGAATATATTTAAGAGGAGATTATTGAACAATAAAAATACAATTTCAAGCATCATTAATCAAACCCATTTGGATATTCATGCAAACAATTCTGTGATTTTAGATGCCTTTCCAATACCTTTATTGCACTTCCAATACTTAACTCCAAATTTAACACAAACTATGTTTCTACTGTACATCGCAATAACTCCATTTCTAATTATTGTAAATCTTGTTAAAATCACAGACTTCTGTTAAATAAGAGTATTGAGTTAAAATTCACTTACTGAAGTAATGGATTCTGTAGTTTTAGAAGTAGTGGAAACAATGGAGGCAGTAAAGTGTTCTTCTTTTGGAGAAGATTTTATTTCTGTATTGGAAACAGATCTAAGATCTTCAACACTTTTTAAAATTGCAGAATGTTCATCTTGATATGTTTCTGCAACTGGCTCAGACTCGTCTTTGAACTCCGAAATTTGTTTTTCAAGTGAATTAATCATGCCATCAAAATCCGAGGAGTCAAAAGTGATTTCATCATCAAATGATTTTAGAGGTTCTACATTATATCTCTGAGCAATTTGACCATCGACTTCAGATTCCTCGTGCAATTGTTCATGGGTTTGTTCTTCAATTTCCGCTGTAAATTCATTTTCAAATATTTCTTCTTTTTCTGTTTCAACTGTTTCAGTCTCACTGACATTTGCAAAAGATTGTGCAGATGCGGGATTTTCGGTAATTGGAGATAGTCTTGAATCTCGTTCTGTGAAAAATTGTCACAAATATTATTCATTTATCATTTCCCAACCTTATGATCTTAATCAGGACTTAATAGCGCAAAAAATATTGGAAAGTTGGTTGTTTATAACATTTAATGATTGCAGTGTTGGTTTATTGGTATCTATTAAAGCAATCCAGTACCAAAGTCTTAAGAGCTATTTATAGATGCATACAAATATGTTTATTCACAGAGTAATCATAAATATAAAAAAACGGTTATTTCATTCTTTTTCTCTGACGTTCAATATTGGGCTAAAAGTTCATATATCACAAAGAAGTTTTTAATATAAATAAACAAATGGAAAATTTTTATTAAAAGAATAGCTCCACGAGTAACATGAATCAACCATCAGTACGTTCTGGAAGGTACAACTTTTTGCTTTAGTTCTGGCAATTTTGAGAATTCATTAAAAGGGCATACTGATAATTGGAAAAAGACAATTCAGCAAATAAGAACAGGTTGGTTTTATTTGGTGTCATTTCAAAGACAAAACAAAACAAGACATAGAACCCAATGCCCCACCATACCGATGCAGTAGGGTGGCATAGAAAATGGGGAAGGATTGAATAATTAAAATGAACACCAAAACATTGTTTAAGATTCTAGCTATGAATCTAAAAAAAAAAACATCAGTGTATCGCAAATATCCGATAGAAGGTTGTAATAACATATTATTGAAGCATTATCCCACATTATAAATTGTATGTTCTGTTTTAGATTCGAAAAACACTTATATATATAATAAGTAGCCTACAGAGTATGACATAACAAATGTGTTTATTATTAAAGACCTAAGTTTAATATTCAGGAAAATAGGTATGAGTATGATAACAGGAAATACCTGTAAATTGACTCATTCCAAGGAAGGAACCATCTGCATCTTCACAGATAGATAAATGCATTACATCAGGTCCTCTTTCTTTTTCAAGAACATTGTCTAGTTCACAAGAGAAGACATCATCTTCACCATCTCTCTCTTCCAGATCGGAGAGAAGTTTTTCTCTCATGAAATCTGAAAAACTCGGCCGGACATTCTTGTCTTCTTTCCTTTCTGATGCAATTTCATTCTTCAATGACTCGATTGTGTCGCCAAGATTCTAAATGAAAAAATGCATCAGCATACAAAAATGAATATCATCATACCAGGGTAAGAGCAAAATTAATGAATTCCAAGAATGTAACAATTCCACTTTACATCTTGTGAAAGAACATTACCGTTTTTTTCGAAAAGTATTTTTCATTCAATTATTATGATTGACAAAAAAAGCATATCTTTTATACAAAAACGAGAGCCATACTATTTCGTAATCAACCACTTTAAAGTTATCGATATGCATACACAGCACCAGAACCTACTGCTACTAAAATAAAATAGATAAGTATTTACATTCTTGTCAAAATAATTTTTGACTTCAGTTAAAAATTGACTGATCATTGCCTTTGTTGCGATTCCACCAGAATTTGTTCTCATTCCTTTTGATATTTCCAACGTATTAAAACCTAGTTCTTGAAAACCTTTAAAAGCCTGTGAGTAAAAAAATTATATAAATCAAGACAAATTAATATATTGAATCAACAATGTCTACAACAATTGATCGAGTTCAATATAACATAACTTCTTTTTATCGTGTACCGTAACTTCTTCCAATAACTTTACCCATAGCATGTGGCTCAGAAAAACATTCATTGAAAAGTTCAGGAAAACGGGTATAGTTTATGTAATTTTTCAGGTAATGGCATATATTGCTTGAAGCAGAAGCAGTTGAATAATTCAGTTTTGCAATTGCTATCAAAATAATAAAAGACATCCACTGTTTTATTCAGCACAATGTCAAATAGGTTGAAAAAATTGGAAAAAACAATGACTAGAAAATTCTGCTAAGCTCCTGTGAAAAGAGTCTTGGACCCATTACAAAGGGAAGTGGCCTTAAAGTAATAGATTGTAAAAAATTTATGGATCAAAATTTATTGCAATTCAGTGCATTGCTGCAAGTTACAAGATAACGGTAGTATAGAAGTTGAACAAATAGAGAATATTATAATTTTAAACAGTCACAGGCTTCACAGTTATAATAGATATAATAATAATAAAGCAACCGGATATTATTTGGCAATCTATTAACTCCCAAGTCCCAACTAAATCAATATACCGCTTACCTGCTTCAGATTTTCCCGTCCATCAAGAGGTTTGAGATCGGTGTATACACTGAAATTTAAATGAGCAAATTGTAGCAGAAAAAGTCTCATCAAATAACACATGGTGGAAACAACTAAGGGTTTTTATGATATAAAGTCTAAACCCTACTATACTTTATATCAGTATGACAAAGGAATATAGCTAAAGCAACTTTTCAAAGTAGGGATGAGAAAACTACAGTCTACAGGCGGCACACGGTCCGCCAATGCATTTTATGCGCCACCTCCCTGTTCTTGGATAAAGTTGTGAAAATCTTTTACAGCTACAAACAAAATTTACCTTTATTTTCAGCTTATTTAAAAAATCTATAATAACTATAAATTGTGATGGTAATGTTTATGAAGTTTTTTTCATCTCCGGTTAAACAATATCAGCACTCAGCCCCCCTTAAAATTGACACTAGCATATCGAATGGGAATAGTAACTGTAATGTCACATGCGACCCTTTGCAAAAAGGTTTGCTGAATGCGGCCCTTGCAAGAAAGACTTTACCCACCCATGCATTGAAGAATTTTTGCTGACAATGTAAAAATGAAAGCAGGAAATAACAACAGAAAAGAGTTGAAAACTTCTACAATTCCAGAACAAAAAAGACAAATTATAGTCACAAAAAACGAAAAATGCCGCTATCTTGTAGATTGATATTGAAACTTTCTTTTCAATTCCATATTATTTTAAAGTATGTATCTTAGTTCAAGATTTATTGAAACTAATGAGACAAACAAATCGTGACTTGTTGTGAATCAACTTCAAGAATCTGTTACTTACATAAGCTCTGGTTTTAATTTATGTAGCACAGCACAAAAGGCAAGTCCATTTCTCCATGATGTTGTAAAGTTTGTCACTTTCACACCTCTGTATCCTTCAGTAACACTTTGACACCATTGTAATAATGGTTTGTTCAACTCTGATACTGGAGAACCATAAGTAACTGCTGGGGACTGAACTGAGGCAATGTTCTGTAAACAAATACTATTGGCATAAAATAGTAGAAAAGAGTAAATTGATATGTTAAGGCAGCTTTATCCCAAGGGAGGTATGTTGGATGATTGAAAGGATGTCTCTTTCTAATAATATCATTTGATTTTGTTTTCAAAACTGAATTTTGATTTACTTATCCTTGATACTTTACCAAATAATAAACCCCTTTTTCAACTAGAGTCACATGTTCAATCTAGTTGGAGAAAATTGTAGTGCAAAGTTGGATTCGAATTCCTTTAGGTTAAGCAAACTGGTTCAAGTAAGTCATTACACACTTCTTTAAAAGATAATGGCACCTTCAAATAAAGCAATGTAAAGTGTATCGGGAAAGAAGGATTTCCATATTTTAGTGATACTTTGAACATCATATTATTCCTCCCACACTGGCATTGAAACTCCAAGTATTTTGCACCAAACAGCGAGAGAAGAGCAATTATTTTACTATCGATCAATTATGTAATCTCATATTAGTAAACACAACCAGCATGTTTCCCTAACCATATAAATACATAAATGAGTCATATTCGTATCCTTTTTGTGAGCAAAGATTTTCTTGACTAACAACAAATTTAGCGAAGCGAAACAATTTGGAGTAGTTCAGGATATATATTTCTGACATAATTGTTAAGTTATCTCCGAGATATTACTGGCTTTTACATTCAATTGCTGAGATGGAACTAAGCCAACATCTATGGAAGGTCTCAATCTTCTTTTCTGTACAGGTGATGGCTCAGAATCTAGAAATAGTAAGATATTTGAGAAATTATCATAAACTATGCTATATTTTGCCACGGAGAAAAAAAAAACAGTCAACACAAACTACTTTATAAAAAAAAGATGTTGAAAGAAAACAAAGATTCCATTTGGTAGCACAACATTAACAAGGAATAAATAGAACACTTAGTAGCTAGTAGCTTCATATGTCTTTTGTCCAGTAATGTTTGACAACAGAGGTAAAAACTTTGCTAAAAGTAGAAGCAAAATGAGAACATATTTCTTACTTTCAGAATCAGATGCAGCACTGTGGTTCTTACTGTTGTCAGTATTTGAATCATTCTGTTTCGTTGATACAGCTGACTTCTTCTCATCTCTGGAAGAAATGACAAAAACAAATGAGAAATTGCTATCAGGGTTAAGATACAGATATGGATATTTCCAAACCTTCAAAATAGAAAAGATCTTGGGTGCTCCCGAAGTATGTGCACCAAGATGACGCACAACCTGAACCCTAACCCGGTACACATACTGTTTCCAGGTTGTGCGCCATATTGGTGCACATACTTCTGGAGGTCCAGATCTTGTTATTTCCATGTAGACTGAATAAATACTGCAATGTCACAGAAAAAAAATGAAAATTGAATGAATAGTCATAAGAAAAATTCTGATTTGTGAGGCATAATCTTGAAAGTGAAGTCCTACTGGAGGTCAATGTTTTCATATGGATATAGAATGCCAATCAAATGTGGAGAAATCTAAACTATGAGGTGAAAGTGCAATTTCAAGGCTATCGTTTCATGGGAAGTTATGTGTGGGTTGCAACTTACAATTGGTGCTCTTGCTTAATTTTTATATTGTTTTATGAGGAAAGGTGCTTTCAGGGTGGACATGTCTAGGAAAACTTAATTTTACCATATTGATGGCAAAATATTTGATTCAAATAATAAAAGAGAACTTGAGAAGAAAGTTCAATGAATTTGGGAGAAATAATGACAAAAGGATTTTGTCACGGATTGGTGTAATGACAGGATGTGTTGGAAGGGCCACAGTCAGAAGTCATCAAACATCAATGTCTCATGTATAATCCCATTTGGGACTATTTTGCGTGTTACATACGACTTTTAGTAAGGAGTAAAAATTGGGTAAATATGACTGATGTCAGTTTATACATACCCAGCTTCATTTGACTTTGAACTTGCCAGAGAAACTTTATCAGCAATACTTCCACTGATACTTGGTTGTCTGCTTGATGTTCGAGAATTGGCTAAATTTAGGAAAACATTCTGAGGTGATTGTGTATAGTGCTCTTATTTTGTAAAGAATGAGTGAAAACAATGCAACGCCAAGGAACTTGAATTTAATCAAAAAAAAAATTTTAAAATTAACTTTTCAAATTTTTTAATCAAAAGTCCCAAACACTGAAATCTTGGCACTACAGAAGTGTGTGTGCCAATATGGAGGTAACTAATTTTGTTTACTTTACATCAAGTTGTGTGAAGAGACTGAAAGCTATGGGCAGAGGGTATATTCACTTGGCTAGCACAGACAGTCCCTGAACTCGTAATAGAACTAATTAAAGGAAAATCGGAATGAAATTATGGCCTAACCGTAACCTAGTACACACACTACAGGAGTACCGAAATCTTTGATACTCGAATTTATGTTTCTACGGAACAAAGAGCTTTGAAAAGTCACAATAGCTCAAATAACTCGCATACTTAATTCATTTCGATACCTCCATTAATCATCAAAAATACTATACATCTTCATACCTATCACATTAACATTCGGATGAAGTGAGTTACTTAATTTGACTTCTTCATTTGAATCGTCTCCTATAGCATTTTTACTGAACATTTCAATCTGTTGTGTAAGATCATGAAGTTGATTTTTAATTGAACTTCCTCTACTGTTTAATGAACCTGATCTTTTGGATGCTGAATCTAAAAAATTATGCCAGGCAAAAATAAATAAATTCCTCTGAAAATATAAAAAGTAAATACGGTATGATATTTAAAGAGGTAAATTAATAAAGATTGTTTCCGTATTTATTTAATAAAACACAATTATTTGTATTCATAGTGAAGACAAAAATAAAATTACTAACCTAGATCCATATCATCAAATTCTGTCATATCACCAATATCAACAGCCCCGAGTCTAATTGTATCTTCACTTGTTGTACTGCCAGCCACAGACATCATATCAGAATCGCTAGAAAGTAATATTATGAATATTATCTCTCAATGAAGCGAGAGTAAGTGACATTGACATTTTTCTAAACAATACAATAATAACATTAATGGTAACTTTGGGAAAATATTCACTTCTTAGAAAATTTGACAAAAAATCATCGCAACTGAGAGATTTTATTCATAATACATAACATAAATCAGAATTTAGCAACACACTTTAGTAAGAATTCAAATAATTTGAAACTAGAGTGAATTTCAGGGAATGTCAGTGGTTTAAATACGAATACCCTATACATTTCGCAGACTGAACAACATTGTGTGAGCATTTGTAACCTGTAATAAAATTGTAAAAAACTGCTTCAATTGCTTAGTGTGGAAAGGAAATAATGCAAACACTTTAATTTTGAAGCCCAAGCTAAAATAAGTAACCTAAGTTGGCATCGCCTACAAAATTGAAATGTAAATGAAAGAGTAATTACTATAAATATATTAGGTAGTATGGCCGAACACAATTGTTAATTCATGATCGGCATACATTACAAATGCATTTATACCAGATCTAGATCGTAAACTATGCCATGAATAAAAACAGCATAAGCTGTAAGAATTTGGTTATGGTTAGGGTCACAATGCCTATTTCCAGCCATTTCAGTAATTACCAATACTGAGGTTTGGGATGCCATAACTGGAATTATTACATTTTCTGGTGAGGAAATATATTTATATGTTTTATGAAAGCAATAGGCAAAATAAATATAATCAAAGACACTAATACAACAGAACTTGCTGAATTTTGTACATATTCTGTGAAAGTTGACACTATATTACCCTCGACGTACTACACTCACGTTGCTGCCCCTTCTTTCAAAAACTCGCAATTAATCAGAATCGATAGATTAGCAGAAGACAATTTGCTTGTCATCGGTTTGAATCTGATGTTAAGAGGCCTTGAGCCTGATACTTCTGTGACATGATCCGTCATATCAATACGGGCAGTTGCAATTGCTTTACGTCTGCCATTCTGAGTTTCCTGTAAAAATTAAATAGAACCTATTATTTGTTGGAGTTAAGTTAGGACTAAGGGATTTATGCCGTTTCGAGGCCAAGGATCTATAGCAGCGATTCCCAACCAAGGGCCCATGGCCCAACAAGGGTGCCGCCACAGAACAGCTGGTACATGGCCACAATGCTAGTCGCAAAACTGATTCTACTTTTCCCTTTACAAAAAACTCCCCCTTCCTTTTAAATTTTATTGCTTGATGCGGTTCGTGTTTACACTTATTTTTGCATGAACATAATGAGATTTGGAATCTACCAACCAAAATAACGCTACAAATACCACAGTAATTATAAACAGGGGGGCCATGAGTGCTTAAATGCCTCCAGAAGTGGGCCACGAGCCCTAAGAGGTTGTGAACCACTGATCTATACCGTCATCAATGCAGTATTACCATCAATCGAGATCAAAAATTCGGTCCAGTAATGATATAATAAAAATGTCAATAATGAAACGATTTAAAAATCTTTCCATTGTTTCATTACATAGTTTTAGTATTTTAATTTCAATATCTACATTTTGAATCATATTCACATCTTTCTGATAGCTAGATATAAAATAAATCATTCAAACTTATTCTTCTCTAAGCAAAGATCACAGATGTATCCATTTTTAACCAGATAAACTTATAGCATTGAATATAGAAAATGCTACAAGTATGCTTTATTTTGATCCAAATAATGTATTAACAGCAGCCAATTGGAAACTTATGCATTCTTCTTTGTTTTAAAATATGTCAACTAGTGACTGTGAGTTGCTAACGAAAGTTGGAATTGGTAGACAACAATTAATTCAAGATTTACATATATTCAGAAATGTTTTCAAATGGTTTTCAAACAATGTTTACATGATGCTTTTTGCCTTTGCCACTATGCATTTGGTATAGATATGAATTGAATTGCCATGGTAAAATATTTCTCCCATTATAAAATAGAATTAGACTATGGTATAATATTTGCTTTATTAATCAATTTACCAATTGGTTTTAGCATTAATTAATGATGCAATGAATATTTCAACCACATTACAAGACTTAGTTTCTGAGAATTCATAACAAATTGTGTCATGCTATATAAATATTTTAGTTCAAGACAGTTCACGAAGCAAGCAAAGCATGTTTCTATATATATTACCATGTTACATAGATAGTTTGCTTAAGATGTTCATGACAACTATTAATAAAAGATCTAGGCTAAATCAAATTATAGACAAATCATGAAACTGGCCAATATAATACCATTTAGGTACATGTACAAACACAATCCATTCAGTTTTTCATCACAAGAGTATAGAAAATAACAATTATCGAAACTAAATTGAACATTGTAAATTCATTCCAATTCATGCTATGATAAATAAACTGAATAGAAATGCACCTAGTTTACTGCAAATCAGATTTGAGTCAGTGTTGACAGAGTTGAACAATTACCAAAATCCACAAGACATATATATCAAGCATCACACAACTATGAAACATTGTAAATTATTGAAACAAAAAAATGATAAAAAAATTTACGTTTTCAAGTATAAAAACCCAATCTTTCGGTTCGTACTGTCCTCTGCGAGCGTCTTTAAATAATGTTACTTCAATTTCAAGTACTTCAGGATTGAGTTTTGACCATTCCACAGCTCCCTTGTATGGATTTTCCACTCCTGGTTTCCAACTCTGAGACTAGAATTCAAAATAAAAAATATAATAAATGAAGTGAAAATACCGTAGATATATTATGGCATCAAAAGTTAGGAATGTATTCAACCTCACAACTATAAAAACTAATCAAATTTCGCTTTCAGGCAGAGAAGCGAAATTTTTACAAAATTAGCTCTTAGAATGAATCAGCAGAATATTATTTTTCATAGTAGTCTAGCAATATTTCAAACATAAGTGTGAATATGCTGGCAGAATATTAGCAATGATTACACACATGAAACAGTACTGGAGGTGATGGCATTTGATTTGACACACATAAATAACCTGCTGATCATCAGTCAGCACATTTCAAATATCACTTGTTTAGAATATAGAAGCGGCTTCTAGAAGTGGAAATTCAATTTTAAAAAACCTGGCCAATTAAATTGGGAAAACATCAACAAATTTCAAACATGTTAATATTACACTTTTGTAGCAAAATAAAGTCATATTTTATCAATTCATTTATAACAACAAAAACAGTATCATAACAGATTTATCAAATATTGACGCTCCCTGAATTTGTGGTTTATGTTCAGTGTAGAGGATAACAGATAAGTGTGAATGGTCAATGTGCATCATCAACATTTTGATGTTTGACTAATCAATTAAAGAAAGTGATGAAATAATCTGTGGATAAATCTGCTAATGGACTTGACACATTAAAATTAAACATATAATAGAAGATTATCTCCTCTAATCATGCATATTCAAGCGCTGGCCATAGTTGTGATGAGTCATGACATTGTAATCCAGTGTCTATACATATAGTAAAAAAATAAATAAAATTGAATAATATAACCCAGTTGTGTCAAAATTGGTATATCTAGTAGGCAGTAGCCTATATAAGGTAATATCTTACACTTTCATTGTACTTTAGAATATTACAGTTTGAACAGCCACAAAACTAACATAAATCTAGTTAATCGCGTCCAAGAAGTGTTATCATACCACGTCATCTCAGAAATAGGGATGGGGGGGGGGGGGGGTTCGAGATAATTAATCATGTTGAAGTGATTAAATTAAATACAAAATAGAGAATCAATAAGAAGTTTATATTTATCTGAAGAATATAATAATGTTTAATTACTGATAAAATTTAAAAATATTTTACTGTTCAAGGTTACTACAATTATAAAACTATAAATGCTGCTATCCAGGTAATAATACTAATTAATAGGCTAAACTAAAGCTATACTCTATCAGGTTTTCACAGAAAATATGATACTGGCGGTCAATCAGTGAATTACAGATTCAATGCACTGAAAATATTATTTTTGTGTACAATGGAGACAGACACAATAGGTCATAGCAAAACTGCTGATAATTAAAGAAAAATATTATACATCCCTTTATCAAGATCCAACTACACAGATTAAAATAGCTTTAGGATATTGAAAAACAAGATTATCATTTATATCTTAATAATACAGGACATACCGAAGTTTCTTTTCTTCGTTTTCGTCTGGTCCAGGCTACTGCTAACTTGTATGGTTGCCTGAAACATTAAACAAAATAAAACGTCATTATTAAAAATCATGACACTCATAAATAGATAAACGAATATGCCCAGATCATAGTTAATTAAACTATAAAAACTATATCATAAGATCATGATATAGGCACAGCAATAGCAATCAACATGATTTTAATTATATATCAAATGGAAAAAAAAATATGAATGAATTATTGCAAGATTATACTATAAGCAATATTTCGAAGGTAATTTATTTCTTGAATAGATTTTATCTTACAGAATGTCATAAATTTAATACCCGCTATAGCATGCCTGTGTTAGCCTTTCTCCATACTAGAGGAACACTGTTTACATTTTTCTGGTATATGCTAATAATGTTACTTTAATAAGGATGTGAATGTGATATTATCAGAAAAATATTATTCAGTATTCCCAAATGCAAATGATAAATCGTAATAATTGTAACTCAAAACTTTCTAATGAACTTTGCAGTGACATAAAAAAATGATTCGTGTCAAATTTATGAAATGAACATTAATAATAAATGTTATGAAGCGACATAAAACAACATGATTTCTTTTAACATAAAGTGATATCAAACTCTCAAACTGTGGTTTCGATTCTATTAGACTGTATACTTTTGGGCAGATGGGAAAACTGGCAGTGTGGCTGATATGGTGTAGATAAAATCCATATCTTATGTATTTTAGTTTAATAACTCCTGAAATTTCCTCAGGTTATCAGGTTATCTGAAAACAATACAGTCACTAATTGGAAACATACTGCTTATAGCATTTCTGAAACTTGATGAATACAAAATGAATATTAAAAGAACTTATAATTCTAGAAAATAAATTGGCCTATAACCTCAAAGTCAGTTTAATCTTTTTCAAAATTTCAGCAGTGAAATGCAAGTAAAATTATCTGGGCTCCAAGGGCCGAGGAAACGTCAAGTGCAGTCTAAAACACCAATAGGGATAGTCTTCTTATGGCATGACTCTTGTGCCTTGCAATAATTTTAATTATGACAGTAAATCGGAATATGATTATTTAGTAATTGACTGGTAAAAATCAATATGAAAGATAAAACAGACTTAGCAGCCTCATTAAATAAAAAATAAAGAATTAAAGAAGTTGAAGTCAGTTCTCAAAAACTTTCTTTTAAAAAACATTGACACCAGCCGGGGTTCCACATCAAGATTTCAGGGTCCATGAGCTTGGCATCATGGATCTGATGAAAACAAGATAGGATGAATGGAACTACCGGTTTGGCTAATTTGCACAAGATAACATATTAATCCAAACTTTTTACACCAACCACAATATCTTGTTCAAATAAATCAACATGTTTATTTACTTCAGACAAATGATTATTCAATTTGACATTTGATCAAGTTCGATGGGACACTTGAGACTGTTTGTTCTACGTATCTTATCCATGCAGAAGTTTTTTGTGGAGCAAATCTTTTATCATCCTTCAAATTCAAGGCAGTTTCTGCGCAGAGGTTCAATGATGAACCTTGTTTCTACCAGAGACCACTTTTACACAACAATATTAGACAGTTTTATTTAAGGGGTCTACTGGGCTCATAAGCTCATATGACTTGTGGTTGTTTTCATGCATTTGTTGTTTTAAAAATGCCAAAATTATTTAATCTTGATAACAAACTACTATTCTTTAAATAACATCGATGTTCTAGCAATCTGTAACTCAAATCAATAACATATCACAGATTCTTTTTATTTTAAACACCTATGTGCAATATCCGATATGGCCATTGATATTCGTTTGATTTAGTCATTACCAACTATTGAGTCAAACAAATCTTCCTATATGACCGAAAGAACTAACGACATTGACTCAGTAGCTACTTTTAAACAAATGTTCAATATAAAAATATGATATTTCTAGATTCCATTCCAACATATAAATAATACCGATTCTATGCAAATATCAAATAGTGTAAAGTAGATGTAGAACTACTATCTTCCTGAAAGGAACGATCAGTCACCAGTATTCTTGTAATAAAGAGTGGGCAAATATGAATATAGTCCCCATGAGAAATCGCAACTATGTAAAGTAATTTCGGGAAAAGAAAAAGTTTGAGCAGCTACTGATAATTTTGACAATATATATTTAATAATAGTTTGTGACGGAAATTGTGTGATAACATGCATGTTCCTGGCATAGCTGTATAATAACGTTAGATGAAATGATAAAGATATAAAGTGTGAACAACTTTACGGTAGGTTACGGTAGGAAAAAAACAAATTTGGAGATCTTAAGACTGCAAAAACAATACATAACAAATAATCAAAATTTTAGCCTTGAATTAAATTGACAAAATTTTGTATAACTTGAATAAAATAAATTGTCCATTTTCAAGCTTACCATGATCTCGTTCCTTCTACAATAAGTCTTTCAATAGTAGCTGAGAACTTGAACTTAACAGCTTTCTTACCAGCATGACGAAATTTTCTCATTACTCGGCCAGACATGTTTTATTCCAATAAAGTTAATTCCGAGTCAATTGACTATTGCAGTATTGGTTATTAAAATATCATTATGCTTTAATATTAGATTAAAAATGATATCAGGATATACTAGAATTCCATAAGTTACCATATGCTGATATGTAATACCAGTAACGTTATGCTATTTCTGTAGTACAGAAGTAATAATAATATATTGGTTATACATTCTGGCATTAGGTTACCCTATAGCTGTATAGCCTAACGTTATACGGTACAGTTAGGCTATAGAGAACACCTTAATTCAGCAATTGTTTTAGTTTACTAGGATAGGATTTACATAGGCCTATTTATCCCGAGGGAGAGGAAAGTCGATATGACGCAGGTCTGAAGGTAGCTGCAGAGCTTAGACAAAATACAAGTAAATCATTTTTAAAAATCAGTAAGTACCGGTAGCATATACCGGTACCATACTTCTGTACTAAGATAAGACATTACCGGTAAGTTAAAATAAACAGTACGGTACCTAATTCTGCAGTAGAGTATGGGTACAGTGGCTACCGGTATGGCATAAGGCAAGTGATTTTGTAATATTTGCCAAACTATTTACTTAGTTACCATTATCCATAGAACAGTCATACACCAGTACAGTGGAAAATCAGTAGCCTACATTTAGTGGGCATGGCATAACCATTTTTGCATACCGTATGTTATTTTTAATTCTAACTCCCCACCTGACTACGCCATCCCAAAATTACGTCATTGCATCGCCACGATCACGTCATGGAGCTTGCCAAAGACCAAAGTACAGAGGACGAGAAGGCGTCTTTGCCAACGATAACGAACTCACTAACGCCCGGCGATCTCTCTCATATTGCCATTTGCCAAGTGCAGTTTTAAGTATTTTGTGGCGTCTGAACCTGCCGCAAAACTATGGTGAGATTTCCAAACCACGCCCGCTATGGTCAAACCATGGCGGCTGACTTTTTACTCTACACCAGGGCTACTCAACTAATTTTACCAAAGATCCGTATTCAAAACTACAAAATTACTAAGGTCCGGTCTTTTCAGAAATTATATTTCGACATTCTTAAATCTTCTATCTAGTAAGCTGTCAAGGGCTGTTGGTATTTTAATCAGGCTCAAAAATTATGTGCCTTTAAGTGTTTTACGAACTGTTTATTTTGCAATTTTTCATTCTTCAATTCAATATGGTATTGTCTTATGGGGTTCGGCATCAAAAACTTATTTAAAGCCAATTGGTGTTCTCCAAAACCGCGCTGTCAAGACTATATCTAATGTGCCGTTGCGAACTAGACTTAGTCCACTATACAAAAAATTGAATATTTTGAAACTGAATGACTTATTTCACTATGAAATAGGGAAAATTATGCATAAATTCTCCTCAGGGAGTTTACCTGAATCGTTTGCGTCATATTTCACCGATTGTAGTAGCCAATATTCGTATAATACACGATCCTCTTCAAAAAATTCATATTTTATCCCAAGAGCTGACACAAAATTCTCTCAAAAATCAATCAAGTTCACTGGTCCAAAAATTTGGAATCAAATTCCTGAATCTATTAGATTGGCTTCCTACGTGAAATTTAAGAAAAGTTACCTAAATTTTTTGGTTAAGAACTACTAGAGTATACCGGTAGTTACAATAATCAATAATGATAAAAATATGTAACTGCCCATCATATAATTGTCACATAGCCACTGTTTGCTTACAATATTTCAATTTTCAAATCTATTTTGAATATTTTCTACAATTCACCTAATTTTTCTGGTACCTCTTATTTTTTACATTATTTTTTTCATAGTGAGAGTATACTTCATTTAAATATTTGGTAGTTAACTAGTCGACGATTACTTTATATTTATTTTTACTCGATAATTATTTGGCTGGAATGGGTGGTGGCTGACTTTGATGACCTTTGGTCGTATCGCCATCTCCCAGTCTATACCAAAATAAATGCTGTTTAATTTATTATACTAAAATTTATTTTTTATTTGGTTGACAAAAATAATAAACTCTCTCTCTCTCTCTCTCTCTCTCTGTTTGAAATGCAATGCTTTGTGATTGGGAACTATCGATTCTCTTTTGGGATACCTTACTTCTGAAATGTTCGCATCATGCAAGAACATCCTAGGGTTGAAAGGCATTTCTTTTCCTGTTTATAATTCCTAATTTCAGTACGCAACAAGTCAGTGGCGGCGCGTGGTCATTTTGACAACCGGGGCAAGCTATTGCGGGACCAAGTCACCCCCATCTACGGGGACAGGATGAGCGCTGTAAGTTCTCCCATCATTTTATGAGTATAAAAACCATTCCATCGGTAACAACCAATCGGCAAAAGCGACAATTTTTAACGATAAGAAAGTGTCTTTAAAACCGGTCCAAGTCAAGGGATTATTAAATATAGACATAGTTTATTTTGAAACCTCTTTCAAAAGGAAAGGCAATATTTACCAGTTACATTTATTTTATTCGTGTGGATTTGTGCAACAATTTTGGGAAATATTTAATGCATGGCTAACTGTTGAATATGGTTTGAATCTTAATCTGACACATAGAGAAGTTTTAATGGGGGTAGAGCAAAACCAAGGTATAAACTGTGTTTTATTGAGTGCAAGATATTATATCTATAAATGTAAACTACGTAATGAAAGGCCTCAATTTGATCAATTTTTATATATGATAAAAAGTATATTTAACTGTGAAAAAATTATTGCAACTAGAAAATGTAAACTGTCGAACCACATTAAGAAGTGGAAAGTTATCATGAACTCATTTTTTTAAAGTGCAATTGTGTTTATGTGTTCGTGTGGATAAAAAGTGATGTTTTTAAAAAAAAAAAAAAAAATTATAAAAAAAAAAAAAAAAATATTTACCCAGATAAATACAATGACATATTAACAGAAACTTCGGGAAAGCAGAGAAAACCTAAAATAAGGTTTAAAACGTTACTATGAAGAAAGGAAAGTTAAAGCAATGATAAGGACATGCGTCGCTCACTCATAGATATATATGCTGCTAGACTTCTACTGCTTGAACATATATGCAACACGCCGCGGTTTCTTGGAAGCAAAATGCTCAATAACGCGCTGATTAAAGTCATGCATCCCAGAAATAACGTCTCTGTGAATGGATAAAACAGCCAAGGAATTTAATCTATCTTGCTCCATTGTGTTTCTGAGATACGTTTTAATACGCTTCAGAGTGCTGAATGTTCGCTCTGCGTCGGCGGAAGAAATAGGCGTCGTCAAAATGATGTCCAGAAATTTTGCAGACGCCGCAAAGCGGCAAAGGTAGTTACTAGAGTGTTATCTATGAGAAACCCATAGAGCGCGCAAGTTGATGTGATGTTCAAAAAAGTTTGATTGGTGTATATACATCGCAATTCATTTTCCAATTTACCCACGTTTATCATGGGGTAAAATTTGGAGACAGTAGCCAACAAATGGATGGGAAATTGACGTGCAAATTTTGAAAAATTTTTGGGGTTCATCAAAGAGAACGCGGCAAGGTGTTCGGTGCGCAGACGATCGCCTATTTGATTCACCAGAATGTCACAGCATTCCTTTGCAGACAAAATCAAACGCTGCATTGTTTGCCTGCGGCGTAAAGAAGCACTCCATGTGTCGTCGTATTTTATTGTTTCCGGGATACGAGATACAGAATCGCAGAAGTCTGAAATACACGACTGCACAGACGCTCCATCCATTAGCCTTGACTGCAATGCGCCGTATAATACATCCACGTGATAGAATATTGTAGAGAAAAAAGCGAGAAAAAATGAAAACTCACCATCTTCTAGCAGACGCTTTAGACCTGCCGCCTCCCTCACAGAGCGTTCGTCCCAAACCGGAGAGCTCTGAATGCCATTGAAACACTCAATGAGCTCAGACCTAATTTTGGACACGCCCTGCACCACGCGTGATTGGAAGTTCCAACGTGTTGGTGCGCAAGCTGGGAGACGGCGGCTACATATCTGGCGAAGGAGGTCAGAGCGCTTCGGCGAAACGGAAAAAAATGAAGAAAACCGCGAAACATTTGCAAAAAATACACGGACGAGAGGGGTATCAAGACACATATTTTTAATAACGAGGTTAAATTGGTGTGCATAACAATGTAAAAAATGCGCATGAGGAAAATCTTCTTTTATATAAACTTGAACACCATGTTTCGACCCACTCATGACTGCCGCGCCGTCATAAGTTTGAGCTATCAATTTTGACTTCGCGTTGTAAGACTGTAACATTTCTTTCAGTACAGCCGATATCCCGCAAGCCGTGCGATCAACGAGTGGTACAAAGCTGTGAAATCTCTCGGTAGGTTTACCATCTTTCACAAACCGAAAAATCACAGCCAGTTGGGAAACGCACGTGATGTCAGTTGTCTCGTCAGACTGAATCGAAAGGAACTGGCAATTCTCAATTTCCAGAGCCAAATGTTGTAAATAAATTTTATACATTGAGTCGAGCAAATCATTTTGTATATCCTTAGATGTCCCTTTCGAAACAGTTGCGGCATCAAGATGATCTCTCAATACTGTATCTAGGGATGCGGTGTATTCCACCATATCCAAAAATACCCCTCTATTAGAAGAGCCAGCCCGTTCATCGTGCCCACGGAGGGACAGCTCGTGACAACCAATGAACTTCAAAACATCTATCAATCGACCGAGAACATGGCGGTTTTTCTCGACGTTTTGGTTGTGCCGACGAATAGAAACCGCGCGTCCTTCATCCAACTGTGCTGCAATATTAACATTTCCGAATGTTCGGTATTTTACTGCATTGTCCAGATGCTCCATAGCATAGCATGATCCCTGGCACGCTCGGAAAGATGTTTAAGATCTCTAAAACCAAATTTACACCAACGTGAGTCACGGGCGGTAGCAAAAAGTAGGCAATAAAAACAAAAAAGTGCATTTTTGTCCTCGCTGTAACACAACCATTCGTGTTTTTTATACCAAGTTTCTGCGCAGAATGTACGCCGACGCTTTCCTCCGTCATGGGATTGTTCCAGTGAACAATTTTTCGGTTGATAAGGCCCAAGACGTTGTACCTCTAATTTTTGTTCCAGCGGCAGCTGCGAAAACGGAGTGCGAAGTAGTGCATCAACCTTATTCATTATGAGGTCTAAGGCTAAGAAATGCGAAGCCGGAAGGAAGTGAGGAGCTCAAAAGGAATGTGGAAAATCGAAAGCAAATGGACTAAAGGTCTCTAACTGATTCAAATAGCGAAACAAGCGACAAAAACGAAGGCGAGGAAACTATCAACTCTTCAAGCAACCAACGAACGAGAAGGAATGCGTGAATATGTCAACACGTTGTTGTAAGAAACGTCGGCATTGTGTCGTCATAATTTCGGGGCTAGCCCCGATGATTTAGTAAAAGAAACAGAAAACAAACGCGGCGAGTGGAAGATAAAAGAGAGAATACGATATACAATGAGCAACCGGGGCAAAATCGGCGTCGCCCCGTCGACGTTCGGCGAAGGCTTTGCGAGCGAAAAATGAACCATGTCGGGAGAATATGGCTAGTGTAGACAGTCTGTGCAACCGATATTGAGGTATTTTTCGAATATTTTTTATTATACCGAAAAAACAACCGGTGCATTGCCCCGGTTGGCCCTATTGACGCGCCGCCACTGGTGATACCTCGTATAAAAGGAGATACTTCAGGTATATATGTCAGAAAACAAATTTTAACTTTTATAGAAAAGAAAATGCCAAGTCCGCAAAAGTAACTAGAATACTGCTTGTCATTCTCAAGTTGTTTTCTCAAAAATGTTTGGTGTATAATGTATGCAACTCTATTTATAAATTAACAAATACATGACATCATATTTTGAAACTTATTTTTCTTTATATATCTATATATATCTATGGCTGCAATGAAGTCATTATTTCTATGATTTGTTCTCATTTTGAAGATCTCTGTCTTAAAAAAAATTATTGTCCTCATTTTCCTTATTTCTGGGTAACGTCCTTATTTTTACATGTGTGCTTATTCGCGTTTAATGTCGATTCGCAGACTGTATGTAGATGTAGCAGATTAGTGTAATTATGTAAGATCTGATGATAGCTTTGATAAGTGTAGCAGTAGCCTACTGATTTAGTTTTCTGACGTTCTGTCCGACTATCTTTTCTCCAAGCATTTCAGCACGTGTTAATTTCGACTTTAGAATAAACACGAACATGAACTTGGCTAGCAACATTTTCAAAATAAGCATCCAAAATTTTGCAATTGTAAAGTACAGGGAGAATTTTTCTATGGCCAAGCAATGACGTCATTGGGCCAAGGGACAGGGAAACATCCAACAGTCCAATGGATGGTGATTGGTGATTATGAAAATTCTACAATGATAAGTTTAATATAAATTTCCGGTCAAAATATATTGTTCACGATGTTATTGCAAAGTCGTCTATACTCTTCTATTCTAAAAGTGTGCATATATATCAGCATATAAAGTACGTAAACAAATACCGGTACTAGTATCGATATTTCAGAAAGAAACACTTTGGATTAAATAATATAGTATTTCCGGGCGCATTGAATACACATTCTGGTGACACTCTCGTAACACATCGTACGGAACTGATAAGTTTGAGCTAGGAACTCCTGATCGCAGTAGGTGCTGTTTTTTTTAAAATATTTTAAAGAAGAAGTTTCACATCAAAAACTGAAAGTTTTGTCAGAAAAATGAGTTTGGATTCGCTAAGATACTTACACATGTCCGTAACATACCGTACCGCCTCAGCACGCGTCATAACATTATTTCTTGCGGTGCGAGCAATCATGAAAACTGTTTCGATCAAAAAATAGTTTCGAGAGATACCGTTACCAGGATATTATCATGCGAAATTATTTTGCAACCATTGCGCCAACATCACTCCTACACTCTTCGGTTAACCGGTTAAAGTGTTTTCTATAAAACTCCCAGTCCTACTGATTCTATTTTGCACAATACAGGTATTGCATTGCGACAGGATATATTCGTAGTAGGCCTTTTTTTAACTCAAAATTTCAGGATTTGGGTTACATGTTGATTATTCAGACCCCCGGGATAAATATGTAAATCCTATCCTATAAAATTCCCAGTCCTACTGATCCTATTTTGCACAATACAGGTACCGTATTGCATTGCGACAGGATATGTTCGTAGTACAGTAGTAGGCCTTTTTTTGAATCAAAATTTCAGGATTTAGGCTACAGACATGGATATTGAAGAAGCATTTATAGAAGCTGGAAGTTTTGGGAAATTCCAGATAGTGGTCACTTTGATTAATTATTGTTCAAATGTAAGTATAATACCGGTACTGTAGTCTTTTCTCTTGGTATTAAATTGTTTTTTATTGGTTAGAAAAATTGAACTTGTCTTGATATCACTGTTATCATCTGTCTGTACTCTCATCCTAGAGTTGCAGAGGATAGTGCAAATGCTGAATGTCACTGTTTGCCCCTCATTTTTTTCCCTTGTTCTCTAGTTAAGATTTGTTGCAATAGACAAGACGTAAGTATTTAACTCTAGATACTACTGTACTATGCCGCACTTTCATGTGTTTTAGGCCAGTATGGTCTTGTGTATACATCTCGTCTTCAATGTTGATAATCCCATAATTCAATATTCCCATGTATAAATATGATAAGTCAAACATTTAAGATTGTAAATATTTTTATCAACAGATTTTATTCGGAAGTCAAATGGTGATAATGGTTGTTGTGGGTGCCACGCCAAATAAGGATATTCCCAGTGAGGCAAATTTAACAACAATCGTGACGGAGGTGAGTAAAGTCAAAATCAATGTCTTATTATTAAACTATATGAGATCATTGGACCACAAATGTTGGGATACAATATTTTCATATGGAAACGTCCTAAATTAAATTCTTATGAGACTAAATGTCTGTTTTTCATTGAAAAACATGTTTTCTAACCGTTATCACAAAAAACAGAAGCCCAGTCATCTAATGGTGTTAAGTCTTATAAGTATAAGTTTATTTCGACTCCATAATTAGCATAACAATACATTTGACAGATAAAAACAAATAACTAAAAACTGATTATGAAATCAGGGGAGCAAACAAAACCTTAGATAAGGTTTATAACGTACAAAATATAAGATGGAAGGTTTTGCCAAGAGGAAGTGGTACGTGTTTACTCACCTAAAATTATTAAGTTATTTCACACACGCTCACATGCACCCAACAGCCACACACACAACCACTGAGAAGTTATTTAAGTAAGAATAAAACGCGATAAATTTAGGGTATACTATAGAGTAAACAAAAAAAAATAAATAAATACTAGAAAAAGAAAAAAACTATTTGCCACACCATATTGATAATTTTGTAATTGTTGCCATTGCCAAATTGATCGATCTTCTAATCGTTAATTAAAATATAAAAGTAAGATTCTGTTGAAAACATATTGCCAAGCTGATTATAGTTGGAGTCAATCAAATGCCAAGTTGCCCAACCAAAGTTGCCAGAATTGGGTGCATGAAGAGGTGGGCGAGACCATTTCATTCCCAAAATTAGAGCCTATTAGTCTTACTCAAATGAGTGATATCACATTTGACTTATATGCACAAATCTTTCTCCAGACATCCAAAATTATTTTTAAAATCTTGAATTATAGCTTTGTGAATGCCATTACACCCACACCTTTGGGCACCCAATCAAAAATGTTGCGAGGCGGTGATCCGCTATCATCTATTATTATTCTTCGACTTATATTACTAGTCCCCCCTATCTTCATAGCCTGTTTGTTTAATTTACATTTCTTTCTATGTCATTCTAGTGGAATTTGTATGATGAGCAGTGGGTGATTGATTTGATGGGAAGTTTGTTCTTTGCTGGCTACATTGCTGGTTCTTTCATTTTTGGCCAACTGCCTGATTTATACGGAAGGAAACGCATCATGATTATAAGTAAGTCAAATGTTTTGTTATCCCGAGCACTTAGATTTATTTGCCTTTAGAAAAAGTTAGGCCGCTCAAATTGTCGGTCAGTATAATTTGATACTGTAAAATTCTTTATGATATGTGTTTAAAGTGAAAATTAATTTGACCAGAGATATGCAAAGAAATATGCAGTTTGGCAGAACTCTCTCGACAGTTGAGACATTTCAACTTTCTGTGTTTAGACTTTACTCTTGCTGCAATTTGTTGTTTTTGTTCTGCATTTTGCCAAAACTGGCATACATTTGCTGCCACAAGATTCATAGGTGGATTATTTGCTGGTGGAGCTGTAGCACCAGGTTTTGTTCTGATGTGTGAACTCATTGGCAAAGATCTTTGGGCACGGATTGGTATGAAGTATTAACATTTTTATCATACTGGACTCAATTGGATATTCTCACACGAAATGTGACTGATACCAGAATATAAATATTTGATCATCATTATGTCACATTATTGCCCTGCCTGAAATTGGACGCAAGGCAGTGGAAATAGATGATATTTAAAAGAATTCTTGTCCGGCATATATTAAATTTATGGTTGAAACCAGGGTATTTTATTTTTCTATTGTTTCTAATTAGATATATCCCGAAGAATTATTAGATTAATTAGAAAAAAATTTGCAACCTGCTAAAGTTTTTAAAAATATAGAAAAAAAACTTTTAATAATTTCCAGGAATGTTGTATCAGATATTTTTTTCATTTGGTGTGATGCTTCTCAGCTTATTGGGTTACTTGCTACAGGATTGGAGGAAAATAATTATGGTTTCTTGTGGAATGTGTGTCCTGCTGCTACCCTGTTTCATATTTTTGTAAGTTGAAAGCATGCGAATGTGCACAGTTTTGAAAAGTAAGAAAACTCAAATTAATAGGCAGAGTCATATTATTTTGTTTTTATCCAGTCATAGGAATGTTGATAGTGGCTCATTGATTACTGTAGGAAAATCACCCTGTTGTAAATCCGAGTCATATTCAAAATATTGACTTAACGGTAATTTAAATCATTGACAAATGAATCAAGCTGTAAGTAAATAATTCTCAAATAAACAACTATGCCTTTATGAACCGCTTTGTAATATAATAATTTGAGAGCATGAATTATTAGAATCGCTACATTTTTTTAAAAGATTGTTCTTATAAATAATTTTCGCAATTATAGAATACCTGAATCCCCGCGATGGTTGTATTCTGTTGGTAGAATAGATGAAGCAGAAAGAATTATGATTTATATTGCAAAAAAGAATGGAAAAGATGATACTGGTAAGACGCAAGAGCTGCAGTGTTTCATTGTGAATAGAACTTAACTTATTAAGTGGATATCAAATGGAGTGCACCCAGGTCTTCCATTATATTTAGCTGTCTTAACTGTTCGAAACTGATTCAAGAAAACATTTTATATTAAATGCGATATTTAAATGCTTATCAACATTTTATAGGCCCCTTTTTATTTTTGATATAATTAGGTGAAAAATTTTATTGTTAGCATCTTTTTATTGAGCTTGCTTTAGGGAGCTGATATAATGACTTGATATTGTTTTCAGTTATTCATCTGTCAAAGGAAGTCGATATATCACACACTGATGCTGATTTCAAGAAACATTCTCTTGTCGATTTACTGAAAATAAGGAAATTGACAATTTATCTTGTGGTTGGATGCTATTTATGGTAATCTGATAATCTTTCTATGCTGAACACTGAAAACTTTTTTAATGAAAATTTTCTTGAACCATGGTCATCTGCATTCATTTAAATCGACTGATCCCTGAACGAAGTCAAAACGATCACTGGAGTACCAAGTGCTCCTGGTGGCAGTGTATTTCTGTCAGCAAAATCTCAAAAAAATGATGGAAAATGATGATATAATTATATTCCAATTATTTTTTCATTACTTGAAATTATGACCAACTATGAAAATAATTAAAGAAATTGTAGGCTAAACTTCATCCCTAAAGTTTAAACAATTTGGACTTCCCTAAAATGGTTTGGGTTGATCGGTGCAATCATCAGAGCAAAAAAAATGAGAGAGCAAGTGCCTTCGTTAATCCTGGGTTGATGCTAACCAAAGATGAATATGAAGCCAGTTGTATGGGTTTGCCTTGAAAATTGTATTCACTGATTGATGCATCTTGTATTCTTGATAATCATTCAATTTAGAATAAGTTATGCAAATGTCTTTATCAGGTTTGCTTGTTCACTGTCATATTATGGATTAACTCTTGATGCTGCAGATCTGACTCCAAATCTTTTTGTTGCGATTGTTTTATCTGGTGCCGTGGAAATTCCAGGCTACATTCTAACTATTGTAATGATGGACCACCGATGGTAAGTTCTGCAAAATATGGAGTACATCATACTTTGTTCATTTTAATTTGTCCTTTATCTGTTGGGGAAAACACCAAACTGAGCGAATACTATAACATTCTAAACAAATTTTTAATGACTCTTCCTCATTTTGCTTATTTTCACATTTGGGTCATGCTCAAAATATTTTAAAGCTTTCTTGTCATGTTTTTTTTAAATTATATTCAATATTCAGGTTTGGTCGTAAAGGAACAACAGTCCTTCTCTTACTTGCTTCAAGTTTAACCAGCATCTGTATTTGTTTCCTGGGAGGTTAGTTTGTTCATCACATTTGGAAATATAAATCTAACATGAACAACACATTGTCAAAAAAATGATCGTTAGGATGGGATAAGAGTTTTATATTTATCCCTTGGTACCAGTTTTTTGTTTCTATCAGTTATTTGTCTCAGATGCATGGGAATAATGGTGGAGAAAGCCATAACCAACCAGCAGATACATGAATTACTCTACGATGATGCGGAGTCCAGCAATTCTCTCACAAACAGTTCGATCCTGCAAGCTGCAAACCCTTGCAGACTTTTTAATGTCCGCTCAGGATTGCAAGAACTTTTGTCAGTGTGTATGCCATAAGTTTGAAAAAACTGAAAAGTATTTGCCAAGAGTGATATCGACAAAGATTTATTTGAGGCAATTTGTCAACATTGCTAGGAAAGTCAGGTCCAGTTAGCCAAAGTCATTTAATAAGGAAAGTCAACGCCTAGTGAGTCAACTCTTAGTGAGTATGTAGTATTGATTCAAAATCTAAAAAAGATACAAAATGGTATAATCTATGGTATTTGTACAAAAATTCATTAAGTAAGCACACCAAGATAATACAACCATTATTGTTTGCATTGTAGATACATCATCAGGAGCGAAAACAGCATTAGGACTCATCAGCAAACTCACGATTGCTGCAGGATTTTCCATCTTGTATGTTTACTTATCAGAAATCTTCCCAACACAGTTACGAACAATTGCACTGATTGTTTCAAATGTGTTTGCTAGAATTGGTGGAATTGTGGCTCCTTTTGTACCACTATTGGTAAGTACTACTCATTATTCAGTGTCTATAAGTAATAGATTGTTATACACCAGGGTATGCCCAGGAAAACAGACAAGCTTAGCAGGATTTCTGACAAATATTTATATTTACCTTAGTGTTGCATTGCAATACATATGGTCGAACTACGTTAACAAAATACCACCCTTTATTTTTCCCATGGCTCAGGCCGGATACGGCTGGCTAGGCAAAATCGTCCGGCCCGCAACATATTAATTGGTTATTATAAGAATACGGCCGGCTGTTTCTTCAACTGTAGTGTTCAAACCGTTTAATGTATATTTGTTCCATCATGTCATAAAACAATCGTTGTCGCCTAAAACTGCGGTATATCTTTTTCCAATATTTTCGTAATAGGCAATGCAACACTAAGTATTTACTGTCGGGGTATTGCCTTACTGGTAGGATTTATGCAACAAGACTCTGGCAGAGTTTTCATTTAGCGCCAAAATAATGCTGATGCGATATAAATACAGAATAATATAAAGCAGAAAAATGTCAACGATCGCTTCCACGAAATTCAAATTCTATAAGGGTTAATTTACAAACGGTTACAAGGACGATCAAATTCGAGCTAAGCCCTATTCTGATATCCGACGATATGCTAGGAGTTAATTTAATTTTTCAGAGAAAAATAAAGGTTGTCGACCCCTGCCTAATGTCATTTTGAGTCCTGCTTCCACGAACATGCATTTGTTTAATGGTAGTGATAACACCCAAAAAGGTCAGTGGTGGAAAAATGAAGCCCCTGAGCCGCAGCTGGAGCCGAAGTTCGAATAAACTACGGCGTTGGAGACGCTGTGATTTCGAACCAGCTCTCTAGCCCAGATAGCACACCTTGACTAACTGATCATAAGAAATTGGGTTGGTCGAGCTAAAATAAAAGCCATTTGCCAAGCCAGCCAAACAATGCTAAAAATTGCTACTGAAAACATACTTCCTGCATTATTATTTCAGAGTTCAACTGCCTACTATTTACCCTATGTCGTATTTGGTGTTGGAACTTTAATCGCGGGTGCAGCAGGTCTAGCATTACCAGAAACTTATAACAGAAAACTTGTTGTTATGAGTGACTTTGTTGAAGACAAAAGGCCGCTTGTTGCTAGATCTAGAGTTATTGATGGCGATGATGAATCTATCAATGCAGATGATAAAGTGAGTATCGAACGATATTATTTCTAGTTACCGTAATTATGAATAATAGTTTGCTTTATTAAGTAGGGTTATTACCAATTACTTTGAAGTTTAAATATAATTTGCCATAACTAAACTATTTTACAGAGTTGTATACATGACCCACTCCGTTGGGTGGTTTGAAATTTCCGTAAATATTTTGTACATATGAATCGTTGAATCATTCTTCGCGTAGTGTTGCCACGTTCTAAAAGCGCTTTCCTGATGCAATTGTAATATATAATCGAATATCTTGTATATTTTATTCTGTGCAGGATCGCTTGCTGACGTGAAAAACTGAAGATTTCAGCTTAGACTATGCAAATGAAATTCAAATATGTTAATGCATATGGACTGATCAAGATGACTTTCAATTTCTAAGATTTATAATACAAGTTATTTATCAGTATCGATTTATATTCTCCAGTTTCAATATACATAGTGTTATCAGCTTATTTTTTTGGACTGAATATGCAATTTGAAGTTATTATTATTGTAAATACACACTCCCGTTCTTTACATTATTTCATTGTATACTCCAGATGATAAAAGACAAAATTATAGCGTGTGTTATTATTATCAGCGGTGTGACGCATCGTTGGGGAAACGCTAGGCACTGCATCCGTGATTACTCTGCGTGGGGTTGCTCCACTATCATCCATGCATATGGAAACAAGTTACTGGATAACTAACCCCATACCCGACATGGACTGGTAAACTGACGAGGGGCCATAGTTCGCTGTATTATTAAGTCGTTTTATCGACTTCACCCTCTCCGGGATAAATATGTAAATCCTATCCAATATTTACGAGCATAAAAAGTGTGACCTATATGCGAGTCTTCGAGGAAATACAAGCTGTCTTCTGTCCAGAAATGAAATGCGTCAAAAACGACATAGACCACAAGTAGGACTGGGTATCCGGAGTCACGGAGCTGTCATATTTAGGGGGCTGAGAGCTTATCGTTATAGAAATGTGAATGGCTTCAATTCAAACCAACTCTATTTTTTCTCATAATTTTTTAACACTAAATACAATTAATGAAATCTATTCCTCCGCGGTTACATTTTGTTAGATAATTTTAATAAATATTTAAAAAGTTTTCAAGTTAAATTTTCATATTTAAGACTTCGAAGATTAATTTTAAAATTTGCGCTGATGTTTTATCTTAGTGGTCGGACCAAAAAACTTAATAGCCGTAGAGCCGGAACTGAAGACGGTTGAATATACTCTAGCGCAGGAGCTATTGTAATTTCCAACTGGCTCCCCAACCTTTGTTTCGAACATTTTGATGCATTGTGTGATATAGTTGTATTGATTTTTCCGTAAGGTGGAATAATAGGATGAATGATGTTATAAAACCTACAGACTAGATACCGCCATGGGTTTTATTTTTTTATTCAGTTTCCGAGTTATTTCACTCTTCGGTTGGTTCATATGCGCCAGTTTTCGTGCATGATTTTTATGAACATGCAGGTAATAAGCAAATAAACATACTGGTATATAAACTATGAACACTGTTGCCGACATTAATTGGGCATAAAAGACAAATTTGGAAGTTATCTGTGGCTATATCGGAACCCACTGTGTGATCAAATTTAATCATGTTACTGGGGTTCGAATTTTTTCTTGATTAACTCGTATTCAGAAATGCGCTTTAGAAATTTCGGTTCGTACTCCTCGCAATTCATATGTACCATTACTGGGAAATGGGTCGGATCTTTCTTGTCGAGCTTGGGTTTAACCGCTTTCAATTTATTTCAAAATGCTTTTACGTGACTGAAACGAACATTGATCAGTTGTCCTCTTCGTTGCAGTTTGAGATTGATAGTATCCAGGGCTGTGTATACATCATTGAGAAATGAAATTTGCCACGGGTTGCGGACCTAATCGTTTACATTTACAACATAACACTGCTGTCCTCTACTACAACGTGCTTCCCGGGGCGGCTGCCCTTTTCACCCCCTCTATACACGCCACTGCTGGCAAGGGGCAACCTCTGAAATGCCAATAATTACTGAAATCACACATTAATAATATAAGTGTATACAATACGGGTCAATAACTGGTTGGTGATGCATTACAACTTGGTTGTGAATTTCGCATCGCTAAAATCCTCAGGAAAACGAAGGTGCATACGAATGGGAGATGAAAACCAACAGAGTGCGACGTGCATTTACTTCCGAACCCACAAAATGTCGACGTTTTCGCCACAGAATCATTTTTTGTGGACAGAAAGTGGACCTATGGATCGCTTTGTTATTATGTTGTCGTGGGTTTCGTTTTCCACTTCGAAGTTTCGTGTGATACCACAAAGTTATCAATATTAAAAATTGCGTGTCGTGGTTCCGCGATCACATCTCAGCAGGGCCGGTTTCAAGCCGATTTGACTGATTTTATCGAATTGGGCCCCGCACTTCGACGCGCTAGGGGGTGTCTTTTTCTGCATTATGAGGTACAAAATACTACTGAAAACGTAAAATAAAAAGAGTAATAATCTTTCTCATAATATTAATTTGTTATGCGGACTGGTAAACTTAGTAAATTCTTAGTACAGCGATGCCAATAACAGTTGCATCAGACGAAAGAAAATTTTCAAAGCTGAAACTAATTAAAACATACTTGAGGTCTGCGGTCTCACAAGAAAGACTAGACAGTTTGCCAATGCTTTCCATAGAAATCGAGATTGCTAAAGCTATTGACTTCGAAAATATTTTGAATGATTGTGCTAATAAAATGGCTAGAAAAATCTTTTTCTGAAAGAGTATAATGTAATTGCCTATTTTGCCTTTCCTGACGTTAGGGATAAAAGCATTCACATTACCCTAAATTTGTTTATAGCAAGTATTAAAAGTCTATTTTTATTTTTTTTTAAGAAATACAAACACCTATAGATTTTACTATGAAACGTGGGGGCCCTGCCATCAGATTTCTAATGGAGACCGCAGTTCCTTGCACTGGCCCTGCATCTCAGTGACCTGGTGGTCTATTTTTTGAGTTTATCGAAATTTGAAAAATGTGTATGCCAGGATAGATAAGAAGGGTCTAGGACTAGGTGAGCACGTTATGTCCATAATTAGTAAATAGCACGAAAATTTATGTATTATGCTAATATACGCTAAGCTAGACCACGAGATTGTCGACTATACCTATGAAATTGAGGTCTCACTTTTTTCAGAGTTCAAACGAATTAATGTGAAGCTCAATTGAATTATAATAGTGCTTTCGAGATCAATCACAAATGCAAGAACCTTTCATCCCAACTCCCAAAGTTTTTAGATTCACCCGATAGGTTAAAATAACAAAAAACCTATCTTTCCACTACGTGGCGGTTTCACACAAGGCCAATAGAGCAAATCAAAATGTCAAAAATATTTTTGTATTAGCAAGTTCAAATTGACATAACACAACACACAAAATCAAGAAAAATCAAAAAAGAAATTGAATTTGGCAACTTCTGTAAGGAAGAAGTTATGGAGTAATAAGATTATATGAATAAGTACAATAGACAAACAAATGGAACAACCAAGGACAGATGTTGTTCAAAGAATAGGTTACATGCAAAATTAATTTATAAACGAAAAACAGGAAATTCGAAGTTTGGATTGGCCCCAGTTGGTATTTCCTAATTTTTGAAACTATTAACGGCTTGATTCCGCCCTTATCAAGTGTTTATGCTTATGGCATTCATCCCTGATGGGAGCAAAAAAACTTTCCTCAATCCATTCAAAACAATGCGAAACAAGTAATTTAGGTACCGTGATTCTAAGTCAGGCGAGAAGGCTTGAATTGTATGGAGTGCTTTAACTTCCAAATTAGAGATCATGCTTGGATTTAATAGGTTGAAAAGCAGAACAGGATATTACCAGTAAATATAAGTATCGATAGTACGAATTCAAATTGATCCATTTACAAAGTAGATCTCATCTCCAATATAAAATAGTACGGGTAAAAAGTACGAATTTGTTGAAGTACAATCATTTACAAAATATGGGAACAAACCTAATAATAATAAATAAACTAACGAGTATCAGGCTTCTGTTCAAATCACGGTAATTTTGTGCGCATCAGCGGATAATAAGATGGAATTGCATTTAGATTTATGACGAAAAAGGCAAAAAAAATATACAGTCGTTGCAATCAAGATGAATTAACATATTTTAAATGGAACAAACTACAGAACAAGTAGTTCTACGCTTACAATTCCACGCATTACTTTAAAAGTAAAAATATCATCAAAATCAAGTGAACATCTCACAAAAGTAGAAATAATATTACTTAACTAACAAGCAAAAAGCACCTTTATAAAAGAAATATCAAATGTCCAAGTAATTCAGAGATTTTCACACATGTCTATTGCATAAAATAGTCAACTATTCACAAGTTCAAGAATGCATTAAAATATCTTCAATGTGAGCTTAATGCCGAGCACCATGGGATCGGAAGCTTCAGAAAATCACGTCTTGTGTGCTGGACTTAAGATACTGAATAGGGATGCCGGAATGTAAGACGTATTTTTACTCGCAGCAATCCAAGACAACATCATTTATGTGAGATAAGAATCTAATATACAAAGATATCTTGTTTCGATGAACAGCGGAAGAACTTTGTGCCTACAAAAAAAATTAAAAATTGATATGCTGTTTATGAAAATGAAACCAAAAAATATGCAGTAATGCAAAAACTATCCAAACCGAAAATTGGCGTTATATTTTGGAAAATGCTTATCAGCAGTTTGTCAGTGTTTAGGAATTTTAGTAACTTTTACAAATCAGTATTTTGGCGTAAACAAGTACTTATTTTCAACTGGAAGTTAACTAATTCTGAGATTGTTGCAAATATCATGACATATGTACAAATTGCTGTTTTACGATACATTACCTCGTTCTATTTGAGCAAACGGGTACTCCCGTAGTGTGTGTACCAGGTTAGGGTTGGACCATAATTTTATTTCGATTTTCCTTATTTTAGTTCTATTACGAGTTCGTGGACCGTCTGTCTTAGCCAAGTGAATATACCCCCTGCCCATGGGTTTCAGTCCCTTTACACAACTTGATGCGAAGTAGGCGAACAAAATTAGTTACCTCCATATTGGTACACACACTTCTGGAACGCCAACAAACGTACTATTCAAAAAGCAAATACACTTAAATTTTTTCAAAATACATAACGAGACAACAATACAACACAACAGTTATCTCACCTTATCGGTAATAGCAAAAGAATTATAACTGGAAAAATCATCTTCAAATAAAATTGCTTCGAGAAACCAAAAACACAAACAACAGCAAGTTGAACTAATTGGCAAATCGTGAACAAATGAAGTTTCCTTTGTGGTACTTTGCGAACGTAGTGATTTGGTGGATAGGAACTCTGAAATTTGCAAAATAAATCCATGATAATTGCTATACATTTGTGAATATAACAGTGATATCCAATCAAGATATATGCTATAAATGGTTTAATGGCAATGGGTGTGACGAGATGTTTGCTTCAATTATTTCAAATAATTTTCATTGTAGATGGATTATAAGTGGAGATTTTCTATTTTAAAGTATTGTTGTGACACACACATATATTGTACTTACCCCTTCGGTAAAGAAAAGTAACATTCTGTCAAACAGTTGATTGCCAACAAACGACATTAGTCCAAGGTAAAGAAAAAGGCCCTGAAAACAAACATTGAATCATAAAATATGAGCAATTACGTAATTCGTATTCGTTAAGTGATAATCGTGATTGATGGTGAGGACGATAAATAAATAAGCGATAATTAAATCATTACCTGGTCGCTGGACGCTTTTGATAGATTATGTTTCGTAATTTTGCCCCGATTAACGTTTGACCGTGAATGACCTGTTTGGACTTTTATTTAAAATAGTCCACTGAAGCTGATACATGATGCTGAAATGGTCGTTTAATGTATATTCTACTATGACGGTTTATTTTCGACATAGATTTAAAGCAAACACACCAAAAAAAGGAAATTTTACCTGGAAAACAGCGACAGGAATATATTGCAGTACATGAACAAAAAGAAGAGAGAGGCCGATGAAAATATGAGACACTAATGTCGTTATTCTTGTCTCACGAACTTTCACGATTCTGAAACGAGATAATTAACGATAACGAATGTTCATTATATATTTCTACATTTACCATTCGTAGTATACTCACTCGTCTTCCACGGTCCCAAGGTTAGTGACGTGCTTTTCTACATCGGCAAGCGCTCTGACATGCATCGGAGAATGTGGCAACGCAGAATGTAACCAAGGTAAATTAAAAATTGAAAGTATGGCATTGATTAGGGCAACTACTATCAAATCCCAATGACAAGAAGATCCTTTTTGTAACCTGAAAATATGAAGCGTTTTTTTTAGTTGTAAAGATGGAGCAGATATCTCAAAAATTTAACTAATCAGATAGCATGCAATTGATTATTGCGCTCCAGAAGTGTGTGTTCCAATGTTGAGGTATCTAATTTTGTTGGCCTATTATACATCAAGTTGTGTAAAGGGACTGAAACCTATGGACAATGAGTATATTCACTTGGCTAACAGTTCCCGAACTCGTAATAGAACTAAAATAAGGAAAATCGGAATAATATTATGGCATAACCCTAACCTGGTACACACACACTACGGGCGTACCCTGATTCATACATAAAAATACTGTATTCCGAAGATACACAGCATTTTATTTGCCTTGATAATAGAAAAGGAGTTTGAACAACATACTTGTTGGAAGGTGTGTTTACTAGTTCAGCCGTGACATTGTCGTCGACGTAAAATAAACAGCTGAGTGACAAGCCAAGACCAGCAGCTACAAGTACGGCATCGAATCGCAACTTGTGAAATGGGGCCAACTCCAATTTGATTTGCTCAGGAACAAAGTTGAATGGGGCAACTAAAAATAAACAGTAATGTAATGAACATGCCACATTTTGCCCACATATTCAAATTTAAATGAATATCACACACTGTTACTGTTTTTACGCATATATCACACAACACAACATAAATTACACAAAGCAAAATAACCACTTCAATATAAATTAAACAAAATAATATCCCAACGTCATGAATTACGCAAAATGTCACCACTTACGATTTATATCTCTGAATGCGATCGATCCAATTACTGAAAATATAATGACTGAAATTGGAAGAGCGAAATCTGCCAAAATTTCACGTTTCGTTGATGATAAAAATTGCCTGAAAAAGCAATTATTTCAATTAAATTATTTTCGAATAAATTATATGAATCGCAATCATTGGTATTATGATAAAAATATCACGTATAAAGTTAAATGAAATACTGTAAGTAGAAGGTTCCCGAACTGTGAGTCGCGGCACATTCGAAAAACGATCCTTTGCCTAAAAAAGCTATATCTTTTCTATCCGCGTTTACAACTATTGGCAAAATAATTTGAATTTAACGTTAGAGAAAAGAACGGCTGTAAATATCGGATAACAGAGGCATTATTTCGTTTATTTGCACATAAACAACTTTACCACGTCGTAAATTTTCATTACAGAAGTCTTTTTTTTTCAATGTGTAGTAGTTTTATCACAGAAAGGAAACGCGTCGTGAGTCTAAAAAGTGTGAGAATCTCTGTTTTGATGGGTCAGAATCATCAAATTATTTCTGTTAGACCGTCGGCGTAGAGTGTCTTTCGTGTCGGTCATATATTTTAAACCTTGTCACAGGCCAAGGCATTTTAACCTTGATCGAAATAAAAATCGGTGCTCCTGGAGTATGCACATCAAGATGTCGCATAACCTGAACCCTAACCTGGTACATAACCTGATTTCAGGTTGTGCGCCATCTTGGTGCGCATACTTCAGGAGGTCCTAAAAACCACCTTGAATGTAAAGTCTAGCTATATCTAGAATTTCATCAAGACAAGCAAATTAATATGCATGATGTGCAAGACGGCGTCACTTTTTAAAGTGACTAACGGAACACGGAACATCTGCACCTGTCAATAATCTGGTGCCGAGAAGCGGGCCTAACATCAGGTACAACACATAACTCAACAAATAAAAAAGTAAAACAGTCTTAACTCACGATTGCTCAAAACGAAGGATGATCATGGCGAGTGACAGTGTACCAAACATCAAAAACAAGAAAAGAACGAAGTTTTCCGGTCGAACACAGTAATATTCATTCAAACAGTTATCCGGCAATGGCTTTGCAGTACCTGTTCCAAACAGATATAAAAAATTTAAATTTTTTTTTACATTTATTGATATCTGATTACGGGCTCCGACCATGCTTATATACACATTGTATAATACTTTCTACAAACACATGAAAATATACATAGGCCACTGCTCAAATATTTAATAGGAGGCTTATGGCTATTACTTCAATTAATATTTAGCCTCGAATTTCAGTGAAATCACACTCAGGAGTAATTAATGAGTTTAAAACCGTGTTGAACTGGTGATTACATCTCCGGATTGTCTAGTGTTTTTCCATGTTGGGATTGCATTAAAGGCGATAACGTCAGTTGAATTACCACGCAAACATTTATGTGGGTATTTGAAACGACATGCTTTTATGAGAAAGATATAAAACACATCGAGTCAAGTTTATTTTTTCCAACCAGTAAAAAATATAACAATACAATACATGTCAATATTTGCGCAAACCTCAGAAATGAGTTATTTTACAACAGTTAAATTATGAAATCGCATCCGCAAAAGTTCAAATACTCTCCTGACTTTGTAATATCGTACAAACTTAATGATACTAAAAATAAGAAATCAGATTGTCATGCCAATAAAATATTTTTTTGTTGTTGTATTGTAAAGATGTTATTGAATGCCCCGTATAAGTATTTAATAGTTATCTTTCATTAAACAAATTGAAACTATAATTGTAAAACATATTTCACGTACTTGAATTTAATTCATACTTCGTTGAATTGAAATTGTAATTTTTTTCGTGATCTGGAAAAAAAATAAAAATTGAACCAGAACTTTTTACTTTGGTAATACATTTCCATGAAAAATACCATGAGGCACTTGAATAAGAGCAACGAACATTTCGATGTAGGTCGATGACACGATTCCAAGTACTCCAGTGAGAAGTATTTTATTGCCAGAACGTAACAGTAACATTAAGGTTAACAGGTTATAGGTAACCCCATATCTGGTAGTTCACTAATCATTAAACAAGGTTTCCCAAAGTTGAGTTTAGCGTAAACCAAACTGAAATTTCAAACAGTCATACACTTACTTTCCATAGTTGAAAGTACGGCATCAGCAATAAAGGCGAGGCCGACAAAGAATGCGAATATTTCCTCGGTTGATCTGTAAAAGGAAAGAAAGCTATTTACTAAGATAAAATGAAGTGATACGAAGAATTTAAATTTGAAAAGAAAAATCTCCAGACTACCTTAAATATAGTAGACATATTTGAACACAGGTGACTACTTATTTCATCAATGCACATGTTATGTCTTGTTCATAATTATAATTGAGTAGCGTCTTTCCAATGATAGACAATGTAAAACAGGTAGTTTTTATCTTCAGATCATTCGTTATTCTGTTGTGATTATCATTTAATATTACCTTGTGGAATATCTCATCAATTTGCTGGCATGAAAGCAACCTTGTAGAAATATAAAAAACGAATTCCATAATCCAACCATTGCATACAACGCTAGGAAGTCGACACTGATCACATCGCTGACCATATATATCACTAAACAAAGTAGCGTAGTATATCATGATTAGAGAAGGTAGACAACCATTATAATAGGCATCCAGGAGATTGTAATTTAAATATCAAAAACATTTAACAAAAGAGCGAAGTACCACAGGTTGCAATTAGCCTATGCATGGATATCTTAGTAATACAATTTGCGGTAATCGAGATTAAATTGACGCCATTTCCTAGCTTCTCAGAGGTTGGTACCATAAACTACTTAATATATATATATATATATATATATATGACATCACGTGGGAAGGAAGATTTGATACAAAACTACTTATTTAATCAAAATGGTATATTTCATTCAAAAAGCGGCCTCCATTCAGCAGTAACCGCGATCTTTACTATATTTATACCCGAGTATATAGTTCGACGAGCACTTGTAGGATGGGATATATATATTTATCCCGGGAGAAAAGGAAAGCCGATGAGATGGTATCTTACACGTGGACTTGGCGGTACCAGCGGTTACGTCGGCAAAGAGTCTAGTAATCCGCTTGCATATAATTACCCCCCATGGGATTCCTACCTGGGAAACCACACAGGGTAATCATACGTGCGTGGCGTGCGTATTCCTAACGCTTGGCACGATGCGCCACACCGCTGAGCGCTAATGTCAATCGATATCTTATTAATGGAAGCATGCGGGTCGTTGCTAACCGAAGTAACGATAAATTTATCCCAGGGAAACTTATATTTAATCTCAGTAGCATGGATCGGTTGTCAAAGACTTTTAAGTTAAATGCTGAATCTAACGTAAAGAATTTTGAGCATTCTAAGAGAAGAGGCGAGCGAATGAGAAAATAATTAGGGACGAAACTGAAGAAAGTATAATAATAACAATAATTTATCGTGACTGTGCCTGTAATAAAAGCCACTCAGTGACTCTATATTTGATATCCTGTTTCTACACCCACTTTAAAGCTAAATTTTTCATTCTTTTTAAAGCTAGGCTCTATATTAGCCTTCAATATTAACCAGTAATTTGTCTTTTCGTCGTAGGATGTCATATTTACCAAATACCGGGTGTTTTATTTAAATATTTGTTCCAAAATTGGAGATAAGGCAAGATGAATACTCACTCAAAGTGAGAGTTTGTGATAACCATATTAGCATATTTCAAAATTAAGGGACTTTGGGAAAAATTACCTTTAACGTAAAGTGCAAGTGGCGCAGTTGTAATGAGTACCAACAAGGGTTGACCGCTGATCAATGAAAACACCAGTCCTCCAAATGTTTGAGCCAAAATACATGAAGCCACGCCTAAAGAGTTAAAAGAATGTGATTAAACATATTCATCATATTTTATGTGCAATATAGTCTCCCTTACCTATTTTTCCGTTTGTGTTTTTCTCATACAAAGCACCAAATGCAATATCGGGTAATAAACAGGAGAAATATAAAAAGAATGTCGTCGCGATCACTTTTCGTAATGTGTTTTTACCGACAAAGCCTGAAAACAAAGAAGCCCAGATTAGATTTCGCAGAGATACGGAAGTAACTTCATAATCCTGAGGTCTGCTGCGTTTTACAATGCATTATGTTGCAAAAAATTGCGTGGACATATTAATTTGGTTTCCTATTCACTGATTAGATAATTCACCAACTATTTCACATGGTTTCTTGAACTGAAAAAAGTAGTATTCTTGAGAAGTAGAACCAGGTAATTCAACACAAATTAACTCGTATACCTACCGTCAATAAAATCAGAAGGGTAGTAAGGCAGTCTTCGTCGAATATCATCAATAGCACCTCGTCCAAAATGATAAAATGGATATTCCTTTAACAAAAGTAATCAGTATGAATACACTCATTTCCGAGATATACCTATCTTTCGGAATGATTGGAATGAATGACTTGAGTGTGTAGTAATTATTGTGGTCAATTGTGATATTATAAAACTCGATCGCGTTTGCCATCGATAATCGTCGGTACGGTCTTATGCATGAGCATGTAAAACAAAATATCACCAAGTGTTGTTTTTAGGTCATCCTAATATAATGAATCAGAGTGTGACTTTCTCTTGGTTAGAAGACTAAACCCTATCATGTTTCAATTCAAAGGCGAATTGGCCTATTTCAATCGACTGGGGTAACCAAAATATGGTGTAGAATCGACGTGGTCAAAAATATTCAGGCTCAGTATGATGCAACTTTCAAATGGAAATTCTGGTCCCACGATTAATACCTTACCAGCAAATATCTAAATCGTCTAATTTAATTATTGATATCAATCAAACAATCAAATTTTTCGCCGTAGATGTGAATGTCTTAACGCTTACTGCTGACAATGACGCCAAATTAGTCCTTACATCATTTTTTCAACGCATTCCATTGTCGAAATCGGCGAAATGACAAAGAGAAGATAAAAAAAATCACGCAATTCACCTCCATTTCGTCATAGGGGTCTTTGCCTCCTGCCTCTTCAAAACTGTTGGTCAGTAACGACAACCCGTTTTCTGCTCTGAAGCTCTCATGTTGTTTTATCAAAACTTGTTTGAACTCATCTTCCGTGGAGGCATTGCTCAAACTTCTCCGGAAATATATGTTGGTCATAAGGGATGAAAATGTACGTCCAACCTCAACGGCATTTTTTGTGAATTTCTGTAAAACAACCATTGACTGTAGGTGCTAGTAACCGCGTAATGATCCATATAAACTGCTTATAGGGAAGACAAATTTGAGTCGAATATGGGCAAAACCTTGATGAAGATACCGGTTGCACATTGAGTAAATTAACTAAATTAAACAACGAACAAATGTTATGAAGCGCGGGCGTGGACGATATAAACTGAGATGTATATTGTAATAAACAACACAAACCTCTCTTTCTGGTGCAACAACTGCAATCACGAAAGAAACTTCCGTGAATTTATTTCCCAAGTTTAAAGGATGACGTAATCTTGCAATCACAACATGACTCTTTTTCAACATCGGCAAAATACACCTGTTGTAGTAATGTTAAGTTATATTTTACTGACTTCTGCTTTAAAACGTATCGACCGCTAGGAATGAAAGCAAGGTTAAAAAGCGTGTACTTTCTGAAAATGTACTAAGCAGACGAAAGAATGAAAAAATTCACGTCTTGTTATATCGCAAAACACTCGGGGATGATTACTTGCAGAATAGGCAAGAAATGGGTAATAGTATTAGCAAAGACCGAATTCAATTCAATTTTGTCAAGTAATAACAAAGAATTTTCAAAGGAATATCATTTGCTTTTGCTATTTATGAAGTACCTGTATTTACTAATAATAAATATTTTAAATTTTTGACAACACAATTGTGAAATACCAACTATATACTTACAAAGTAGTTAGCCACGTTTCCTCGTACGTTGTGCCTTCTTTCAGATATTTTACACCTTGTATTGTTTCACGGAGAGTATCAGAAGATGCCACTATAACATAAATACATAAACATGTAAAACATATAGAAAGATTGAATAAATCACCACAACTGGTATCGAATGAGCTAATTGGTATCGACCGAAACAAAACCAACAATTTCGTAACATTGAGATCCGGTTTATTAAATTTAAATTCAGCTCTTTTTTAAATTAAAATCGGCTGCTTGTTTGGAACTCAATCGAAAACAAATATAGGGATTTGTGAGTGTGAGTATTGAGTAGTGTTGAATATGGGTAATCGTTAAGAAAAAGTCACTATCACTTACTAGAGTCAGTCGCAGTTGGATGATTTGTAAAGAACGCTTTATCAGCCCGAACATAAATTTTATCCTCCCCTGCTACATCTTTACGTAGTTTTTCCATCATTTTTTCTATAATGGTTTCCAAATCTGAAAAAACGATATTGTAGGACAAAACTGATTACTAAACGATAAAGGAGAATATGCAATGATCCTGATCAGAGAAACGGAATTCAAAGTCGGATCACTATAACATAGAATATTGAGCTTGTTTATGAGTCCCTTTAAAACAGAACATGTCATCGTTTATATTTCGTGTTTGAAAATCACCAAATTTTACAGCATAAACATATTATGAATTTTCGTTAATATCAAGCTGAGAGCATGATCGATTCGATACATGTATTCATCTAAAATGACAAACGTGATATACGCTCTTATTTTAAATACCAACATTATTTTTCTGCATTTTTACCAAATTTGGATATAAAATCATGACAATATAAATTGGAGGCTTTCCAGCAACATAGTGCAAGCGTATGCTATAAAGTTATTATCCCGCCAAAGCCTCTGGTTTGGTTTACACAATATTCTAGATTAGAATGTATAATACTAAAAATAGCACTTCAATAATGAAAACGTTTAGGTGCCGGAGACAGTTGATAATGTATAAACTAACCTGTATCCGGAAGATCCAATAAGACGGTAGGCTGAAGTAGAAACTTTGCTAAATCTTTATGAGCTCGAACCTCCTCAGTAAAATCTTTCAAAGGGAGATTCTGGAATTAAACGCGATAGTACTGAATCAATGAGTACCGTACAAATAATAGATTTAACCTATATAGTTATAAAGGATAAGTTATGGGCCCAACACAGCATAGTACATGTCTTAAGGGCAAGTTCGACCTATGATCCGTACCATATCACACATCACGTTTTACCACGAAGATTTGATATCTATTCTGCACAAAATTTGATTGAATATGCATACATTTATTATATACCTTTCTGATCTTCAATATCAATTCTCTTTCCGCATCCTCTTCATCGTAATCTATAGATGTATTTAAAAAAATTAGGAAATTCATTTCGTTATTTTGGTAACTAAAATATGATGAGATTCTTACCAATTGTCCATATTGAATGTTTTTTCATTGTACTACGACGTTTGTAAGTTCCCCACATGGATGGTCGACGTAATCCCATAGTTCCTCGTCTACTGAACGACTTATCAGCTCGAGACTGTCGCATTCTCAACGCCCGACTGGGACGTACTCCGTCCTCGCCAGTTGATGAGATTTCCACGTCGATATCACTACCATGAGACTCGGGAATTCTGTATAAAGAAATGCGTAATATAGGGCGGAGTACAGGTACAACTTGAATCTCATATTTTGCTTTATCACTGTATAAGTTATCGAAAGGCTTAAACAGCTAGTACCATTTAATACTTAGCATACTCTGAAGTAATGTTTTTCTGTGTGAAAGTGGTCATTATCTTATGATTGACAAAACTTGAAATATTGATTAAAAACCTATATATACTGTACATAGGAAGTGTACCTCGAGTTCTTCGCCAGTTTACCATTAAAAGAAACCATGTTGGGAGTACTAGACGAATCTACGTTTGAACTGGATATCGATTCATTTTCTTCTTCGTCTACGATTTCTTGCACTGCTGCCAAATTAGTGAAACTACCTCCTGAAACACATAAATATAAAAAGTGTTATAAGACAAATTATCACAATTCAAACATATGTATCATTGATATTGAAGACCAACGCATCATTGGTTTGAATGAGTATCAAGAAATGACTTTAGGTTGTAAGAAATTCAGACCTTACCGTATAGTTTATAATTTTAATTACATAACAATAAAAAGCATACCCTCATTCGAAAATCGTCCATCGTTAGGGTGAAGCGACATGGTTTGTTTCAGCCTCCACTTTACAAACTTTATGCTTTTGTATTTGCAAAATAACTTTAATTTAGCTCAAGAATCTAGTTTTTAATTGTCATATAGTAAACCACATACAATTGTTCTGTTAATCAAAACAAGTAAAACAATTACCGGGAGTTAGTAAATTATTATGCGAGCCATCGTTAAGTTATAATTATGGTCAATTTTCTGTGAAGACTAATCAGTAAATTGTAACGTACGTTTCGCTGATCAGGAAAAGATTTCAGTTGTCCCCATGCGAACTCGATAGAGGCATGAAATGAAAAGCAATACGTTAATGAATTAGTAGTAAGACACCTTAGTCCACTTTATTCAATTAGCCATTCGACGGTCGATTAATAATTTCTCCAGTCATTTGCCATATTAAAGAAAATAGATTCTCGATTCCCACGCGCGGTGTTCAAATCGAACTAAAATGAAAATTTGTAATAATAATTGTCACTGAATTTACGCTGCTCATCAAGGAAACTGCAACCAAGTCAGAAACAATACCCTAATTAGATATTCGTTCACCCTATCTGTGGCCTGGTATAAAGTCCCAGATCTTATTTAATAAGTAATCTTATCGAATAAATATAAATTTCCTGCATCTACGTTTCTATATCTTGAATAAATGAGCTTATGCATGTGGTTGTTTTCATGTAATTTGGACATGTGATTTGGAGTTTGAAATTGTTGAGCTACTACCTAATGATATTAAGCACAAACTTCCACATTCAACCTACTGATCAATATGGAACATCACACCACGGAGTGGTGTATATACCATTATATACCATTCTGATAACAATCCTGAATTATTTTATCACTAGGAATAGACGGAGTCACTAGGTCCACGAATTAAATCCCGTATTTACTTACTACAGCATGAGTTATCAACAACCCGTGAAAGTAGAAACCAAAAAGTATTCCACGGAGTGGCTTCGAAGTCAACATACACACAAAAGTAAGCAATGATATTTAGAAATCTAACCATTAAAATAAATTATTTCCTTGTTGGTAGTTAACCTGGATGTCTGGCCTGATTCTAAATACTTTATGTCATTTTATTTTATCAATTATTTAAGTCATAACTGAGTTGCGTCATGCGCCTGGCATCGAAATGATAGATTAAACGTGTTATAGACAACCGAGACCAAGCTTACCGGACAAAACTGCGGTTGCAAGCTATGCGTCACCAGGCTCACAGATACGAACGTATGAATATTGTGATATACTTTATGAATATACCTCTGATTTACGAAATTATTGCGTGTAGATTGGTACGACTGAAATACGATAAATAAATATATTTCCCTAGCTGCGCACTTCCAATATTAGTAGTCCAACAAATGCTGCCGATCAGCGAAGATATCATCGTTCGTGCACAGAGATTATTCGAGAAAAAAACAGTCATTGCTAGAAATTTTGGTTGCGGTAATTAATAAGCAAATGAAGAAATCAACAGTCGGGACTTACACATTCCCCCAAGGCAGAGCGCTGTGCAACTTCTTTATTTAAACAGGTAAAGTCATTACATTACGCTGGTTTACAATTTTGCTAACGGCACAGTATGACGCATAATAAATCATCCTACCGTATTTGGCAAAAATACAAACATATACAGCGTGATGTGACGATTCGCAAGTGCAACTTTTCAGCGATTCAACGATTCGCAATAGGAACTTTTCAGCGATCGTAAATAGGGGTATTTTTCATGTGTGTGTATACTTGACCAGTGATAGTTGGAGATTTTTTAACGGTAACCCCGATCACGTCACACACGAGCAACAGCCTCCGATGAAGAGGCTTTTGGAATGGTCGAGTGCTTGTTTCCGTCTACGACATTTTCAATTTGTTCCTAGATTCGTACATGACGATTGGCATGAAAACATTGACCTTCCGTGAGTTCAAATCTATTTTATTTCAACAGCAAACAAAACAGCCATGTTTTTTCTAGTGTACAAGCACCACAAATTTTGAAAACTAATGACTCATAAGTCATAATTTGAACGAAACAAACAAGACAAAAAAAGCTTTGAGCCCATATAGTTCAGTACACAATATTATCAGACATAATAATTCTACTTCGGCATCAATTAAAACGCTATGAGCACATGGGATATGTTACGTAAGTTGGAGCTGTTGTAATATGATATTCCTGCATATGTACGTTCTTTCATAAGAGGTCGTTCGATGTCAATCTAGCTTTTAGAAAAATTTATTTTGAGTGTAAATATCCTAATAAAATGCTGTACCTTATGTATTGTTCTTAAATACAATGACGGGGCCAAAACTTCACTAAAGAAGATTAAGTATCGTCGGCACAAAGTTTGAGTAAACAAATCTGCGGGTTCACAAAACTTTAAATACCAATAACTGGTTGTGCACGTCTTCTGAACTGAACTCTCTTACTAGTCAAATCCGCAAAGATATTACATTAAATATCAGATGAATTCAATATGCCATTGCTATATTACGATGCATTGATATGGTCATATTTATGACGAAGACAATACCAAAGATAACAAGCAAAGAGCATGATCTCATGAATAATTAAGCAGTGTGGTTATACAGTACATGTTTCTTGAATAATTTCCACAAGTCTATTTACCACAAAATTGTAAGAATTGGGGAAAGAGTTTTAATATAAATTTTAACAACAAGCGGACACTAAAAACGTTCTGATTTTTATCAGTTCGCATATACTAATGGTGCAAAGGTGAACCAGATATTAAAAATCTTTACCTTTCTTCAAATCAAAATGAATGCAATGCATAACATCAATTACATGCTTCATCGCCATCGTAGAGAAGGTCGATCACATAGAATAAATTAAGTCTCGAATAGTGTACATGAAATCTGAGTGGTTGGCGCATGGTTAGGGTTAAGAACATGGCTGTCAATACAATACTGATTTCCCGATCATAAGCCGTGTTCCTGCGTTTCGTCATATAAATAGGCTGTTCTGTCGGCTTTGCTCTACCTGGAATATATATAAAAATCCCATCCTAATTTCTCTTTTAGTCGTGTATAACAACCGGGAATTCTAATCATGAGCCTGAGACAATCTTTCAAACTACCGCCGCTAGTCGCTAACCCAAACATCCATACACTCTGCCCTTGTCAATAATACGTGCCGCAGTATCCTATTTATACAGCGCAAAGGCGCAACGAGAACACTTCACAAAGCAATCTTACGCGATCAGCTCTCAATACCAGCGTGTTCACAATAAAATCGAATCTTTCTTTACTTGGACGTTCTGTGTCGACGAACCATCATCACGCAGTCAAGCATGCAATTGAACGCCAATAGGAAATTATCGGTTGGGAATTCTTTATGTCTGATACACGCTTGGTTTGAGATGCGCAAACTTACAGTCCGTAATTTAACAATCACAATCCGGACGGTATCAATAATATTCTTATGAAATGCACTTGAATATTTGAAGTCATCCTAATGCCATTATCACATCAAACCATGTCGTAACGGTTTCAATCACGACTGATCGATCCTAGGCCAGCCACATCGACCTCGACAAAAAGTTAAACAAAGCTGCAGGTATACAAAGGATTTCGTGGTATTAAGTAACCATGTGCAACTGAATATCGGGTCTTTTCTTTTAATGAATAACGAGAATGGTGTGAACAAAATTTAATTTTCATTCCTCGATTAGTGTATATTTATTTTAAAGATGCCTACATGCCTTTTTTTATATTCTCGTGGGTATACGTGCGTGGTTTCTTTGATATTGTCACGTGTTCAGTATAGTAAAGTCGCCAATGTATATGCACATTTGTCAGACACATCCTTCAGAAAATGATGTTAATTAAGCATTTATTTATTCGTAATTTTACAAGAATGCAACCAATAACACGAACACGATTATAATTTTCCAAAAAAAATTTCAAAAATTCGAAAAATTAGTACCTCACGGAATGACGTAAAGCAGCATTACACCATAATATTTATATCCTTTCCTAATTATGTTAGATATACACTATGCCTCGAAAACACTAACAAAATGATCTCGCGACTCCCAAATCGACCACGAAAACCAGATTTCAGCTGTCTATATTTTCTTATCACAATTTCTCAAACTTCTATTGCCGGAATAAAAGCGTTGACTTTACGATAATCTATAAAAGTCTTTAAGTCACCGCTCACTCTCTTGATATTCTATTATTTCTTTTTGATCGGAAAAGCTGAAAACAATTCACGACTTCGAGTTCCATCTTGCAACGAAATGGCCTATAGTTGTCACTGTGGTTTAATGATCAATAGGTTGTAAAAATGTATTTGCTACACATATGAAGATATTTCGATAGAACGAGCATTGTGTGGACCTGAAACACATGGATAAACCAAATCTATTCAAGGCTTATTGCAAATAGTATTTCACGCCGAATATGATGGTACAGTATCAGTTTTAAACACGCCCGAAAATCGAAAATGCCACGATTTATGTTTAAATTTTTCAAGTCACTACATTAACAATTTTTGAGTGTGGTATTTGCTTGATGACCCAGTTGTAAATCATTGTTTCATGGTGTTTTATTACTGGGAGTTTATCTCTAGTTTCTATCCCGTTTACATTATGTTGCGCATACATGAACATGCTCGATACGTCTTCAATTGCTGAGCACCGTGTGCAGTATTTGTCGACTATCTCCAGCAAATAGATTGTTGCACCACAATGGTTGAGTGCATTTATACCAGCAGTATTCAGTACTGATTCTAACAAGACCTGTCATAAAATAAATTATGTTTGCCAAACAATTTTGCTCGCATATTTTTTTATACATGCTTTTTAGGGAGATGGTGCGTTGACAATGTGATGTTGAGCACATATTAACCCACAATAAACACTATTTTGACATGATAAAATGAATACAACCAAATACCGAACCTAACAAAGGATCACATTCCACACAAGTGAACCCGCATAACACTAAGTTGGTCATTGCCAACCTTCGGAATTTCTGTCCTAATCTATATTCAACTAGTAATAAATAGATCCCCCAACTGCATGTAATCACAAACGCAAAAAATTGAAGTAAATACCTTCATGAAACCTCATATACTAATCCTCAATTATGCTCGATGACACTGT